AGTAGAATTTGCGTCATGAGAGTAGGATTTTCATTTTGTATTTTCGTTGGTCGTTCGGAATCCTACTCAATCTTGTTTTTTTTAATTTTTTATGTTCTTGTTTGTGTTGATTTTTTTTATAATTTATAATATGTTTTTAGTTGCAATTGTGACACTTGTTGATTTTACACAAACAATTTTTTTATTATTGTTATGACTTTACAGCATTTATGAGAGACAGCAGTCACAGCCCGAAATAGATATGCTGAAGGAATATCTACTATACTGATGGCAAGTGAAATTAATACTATAGTCCTGACTTGAATCCTTGTTCAAGAAGCTCCATCTTCCCTAGCTATCTATTCTTGTTCTTCCTGATGTCAAAGTCATAATCATTGCATTATTATAACATTAATTGTTTTTTTAATTAAAATAATTCATTAAACACTTGATAAAAGAATAATATGTAAGATTAATACCTTCTTTTAGCTGAAAACCTCCACTAAGTAATGCAATTGATTCCAAGCATAGCTAGCCTAGCTAGGTTAAAACATTGATTGCTTTTCCCAGTCCTGAGATCTGAGCATGCGCGACCACGCCCAAATTTTGGAGCACATGGCATGCTTCTATAATTAACAAAATGGCGACGGGAGGTAAGTTGGCCTGATACAGCAGTCATAACGTCACTTTTTCTTATCTTGGAAAATGATTTTAGGGGACATGGATCCGCGCATAGACTGTTGGAGTAGAGTGGTGTAAGAATTATACTTCTAGCACGAGTCAAGATCGAGATACAGCTCGCCAACTGAATTGCCAGGACTTTCTTGATGATGATGATGATGATGATGATGATGATGAAGATGAAAAAAGGTGGCTGAACAAAACGGCCGGTTTGCAGATTTTTGGCTTTCCTCTTAGACTAGGTTTAGAGCCACGCTATTGGTACCAATGGAGTCCTCTGGTCAAGATGAGGTCCTCTAAAAAGTCTGGTAAGCATAGGAGCTCGTTTTCCTGGTATAGCAAGGCTGCAAAAGTCGTGGTAGCCATTTTGTTTGGGGGTGAATCCTACTTAGTAACGCTACCGCGTTACTAATACAGTGTATATATTCTGATGTTGTGTTTCAAATTCCGATCAAAATTTCATTTTGTTTCAAATTTTAAAGTTGCCAAAGACCCTGTACACTTAATTGTATAATTGTACTTTACCTCTCATTATGTTGTTCAGTGTTACATGTACTTTTCTCTCTTTCAGAGGAAGAAATGACCCCTTCAGAGGACGACCTATTGAAAGGTCTAGGCAACCCTCACTCTTATTTCTCACCTCAGAAACTGCAAATAGTGAAGCCGATGGAAGGCTCGGTCACTCTCCTTCGTTGGAAGCTACTAGCCACACCTCAGCTGAGGGGTCCGTCTGGGTTTCTAGAATCGGAGGCCGAGAAACAAACCGGTATCCATTTGAAAAACTATTCGTCTAACTCAAGACCTGGCACGCCAAAAGAGAAGACAGGAGAAAGAGAGAGTACTCCAAGGAAGTGGCATAGTGTATATAATCTATCTTCAGAACAAAAACAAGAACCTTCTCTTCAGAAGATTATCCACAGGAGACATCAGCCGTCACCAAGAGGAGGAGGAGGAGTTTCTCAACTTTCAACTGTCGGGAAAGTAAAACAAAATATAATAGGTTTTCTCTCGCCCGGCTCCGCCCAAAATAATAAATCTCCGCCCACTGATAGAGGAAGTTCAAACGACTCATCAGCAGGGTTACAGGAATTATTAGGATTCTAATTAGTGCCCGATTTTTTGCGCGCAGATAGAACAATAATTTATTTTTACTTTTAATAATTATCACAAACCCATACAAGGAGACATCCGATTCATATATTTGCATAAAATTATTATTATTATTATTATGTATATTTTTTGTATTAATTTTGTTACTGAACCATTATCTAATAATTATTTATTAAAAAATAAACTAAAGGTGTGAATGTGTCAATTATTGAAAGTATAATAATAATTAGTATTTCATTAATAATAATAATGTTTATAATTATTCTTCATCAGTATTACTGTTGGCAGACAACTCCCTAATTCTATTCTGGACTGCTTCATGGAGTCGAGCTAAATTTGAATGAGAAAGAAGTGGCAATAAAGAAAATACAGCTTTTAGTATCTGTTGTTGGTTATAATCAACAGCAACTTTGTTCCCCTTGAAAGAGAGAGAGATAAGTAGAAGTTATAATATATTGTCGATACTTGCTCTTCCTCGATAAATTTCATGACAGAAGAGGAACAAACTTTTCTTTCTTCCTCAGTTACAACTAAGCAATAATAACAATGGCAGCCATTATCATTTTTAATAATACTTTCTTCATCGAGTCTCTCGATCTGAGGTAAGATTGAGAGAACTTTCAGACGATAGTTTTCAATAGAAGAGATCGGGTTCCCGGATAGCCAAACACTCTACAAAAAAAAGCAGATGCTGACAAGAAGAGGAATATCCTATCACTAAATAATATTACTGTACTCTTGCTAACAATGGTAGGAAAATAAACTATCACAACTATATTTTAGAAGAGTTTTTGGGTTTTACTTGAAGATTTCGAAGGTCTTTAAGGTGATCAAGTTCTTCGAAACGGAAAATATTGTTCTTACGAAGATAGAGTTGAGAAAGGTTTTTGCCTACATACACACATACATACGAACGGGAGGTGAATTAAAATTTAACGCATTAAAGTATTTTTACATTGTCCAATTGGTTGCAAGGACGTGATGTTGTTACAGCTGAATAAAAATATAATTTAAATTGAAAAAATTATTCTACATGTACCTCAAATTCAAAACTTCCAAATTTTTAAACTGCGGCAAAATACTAACCTACAAATAAACATATTTTATAATGGCTTCAAAAACACCCACCCAAATCACTGTTTTCTGACATCTATAATTATAAAAAAATACAAACTAACATCACTGAGTTTCATGGCCCAACATTGTAAGCTCCTAACATTCTCGGCTGAGTCTGCTTTGCTTCTTGTCACAACTGCATCAAACGTTAAAGCCGCCATATGTTTTGTTAAGCCACACCTACTTAACAGCCACGCCCATTTGCAATGGCTGCTGCAGGAAGAGCTTCAAGCAAGATGCTACGTGCCTTTGTTAGAAATTCTGAAGGAGAATCAGACATTACAATAAGCTTCTGCTTTAATGGGAAGCGTCACCACCTCCACAGGCCAAAGGCTCAGCCCCTGAGTCAAACACTGCAAAGAATATCATTAACTATTGCTAAAAGTCTACAAGGACCCAGGATTAAAAATAAAAAAGAAAGGATGTCTTCAGCAGACTCACCTCGCCCTCCTCCTCCTCTCGTTTCTCTATTGAAGGACGATGCAGAGACAGTACCAGAGGATGTCCTTAATGTTAATGCATGGACTAGTGACTCTCTTTTCATTATTGGTGATCAAAGGTACCACGTTATTGTAAATAATCCTCGTATCATCAAGTTGCAAGTCTCGGATCTTGTATTTGAAGGATCTCCTTTAGTACCTCAAGTATGCAATAAACATTAAGATTAATTATAATTTCATTAATGTCACTAGGTTTCGCTTGAGTTTGCTAGCATCAACTACTGTAAGTGGTCATGGCTAAGAATTGACAAATCTGCATCTGTACAGGTTGGTTCTCAAGATTTAGAAATGGCTACAATGGACTCCACTTACACTCCTTCTTCGATGAAGTTAGCTCAGCTGGTTCATGAAGGAGTCATATACTGGCCTACTAGAGCAGATATTGATCATCATCTCTTATTGCAGTGCACTCCATTTAGATCAGCAGAAGAAGCTGGTAATCCAGTCTATTACCATACATCACGGGTGAGGCCTCAGTTTAGTATGAAAGCGATAAGGAGAAGACAGGAGCATACTCCTACTCCTCTCTCCTCTTCCTCTCAGCTTCGTGTCATTTCTTATAATATATTGTCCGAGAAATATCTTGGAAAGGATCCAGAGAATCCTCATCCATTTTATTTCTACTGCAATAGTTTTGTGATGCAGTCGTCTTATCGTTACAGTCTCTTTATAGTTGAGATACTCGGGTATAATTTTGATATTGCTTGCCTTCAAGAGGTTGATGAAGGCTACTTCAATCTGAGTTTGCTACCTATCATGAAGGAAGTCGGGTATGATGGGGCCTATAGCAGAAAGACAGGGCAGGTAAGAAACTTAAACTATTCATTTATAGACAAATACAGCTCACATGAACGTATACCCATGCAAATCATCAAGTCCCAATATCATTATATACTTGAATGTCAATTTCTCTTCTTTTTAAATTTTTCTTTAGGTTGCAGAAGGAGAAGCTATCATCTTTCGAAGTTCAAAGTTTGATCTAGTGCAGTCGTCTGTCATCCCTTTAATCCCTTACCTCCAGTCCAGCACTAGCTGTAAGGACTTATATAAGAGCATACAAGAGGCACAACCAGTTCTCAGTAATCTTATGCGAAAGAGCTCAGTCCTACAGGTTGTTATTCTAAAAGCTAAGGATGACAATCGCTACATTATTGTTGCTAATACTCATCTCTCCTCTGGACCGGAGGAAAGCTTCATTCGCTTAATGCAAACCATAACTTGTAGTAAAATTATATCTGACACTGTCACAGAGTTTGAAAGATCTTTGTCTCCTGATGCTAAGGTATCGGTTATATTTTGCGGAGATTTGAACAGTTGTCCTTGTACTGGTGGCTATCAGTATCTAACTGAGGGCTTTGTCTCTAAGTCACATGTGGATTGGACCTCTTACCAATATGAGGCCATCCCTTCCTGTGGGTGCAAGCCAAGCAGTGATTATAGGAGTGCTTTGGATGAGGAGTTGCTGAGAAAAATGAGAGATGAGCTACTGGAAAATTATGAAGAGGAAGAACAGGAAAAAGATGATCAAAGAGATGATCCTATTCCTCCTCCATTGCAGTCTAGTAACACTTTCAATGGTCTTGATGTTAGAAATGACATACCATTACTTGATGCGTGTGGTCCATTGGAGTACACTCATTACAGAGGTGTATTTGTTTCCGTATTAGATTATGTTCTTGTCAGTAGGGAGCATTTTGAGATACAGAAAGTCATACCAATGCCAAGCCACGAGGAAGTGACTGAAAACTTTGCTTTGCCATCAGAGTCTTTTCCATCTGACCACTTACCTCTGATTTGTGATTTAAAATGGAAATAGATCTAGAATTATATTTTAATTTATTTATTATTATTTATTATTATAATTATTTTGTTTGCAAGTGTGTATCATGTTTTAAAAGAGGTTTTGGACTTGGACAAGAGCTGGGAAGGTCTTCATTCGAAGTCTCTCAACTTCTTCGCGTAAAATCTTTATCTCATTAGCTTGTGTCTTTGCTAGTTCAACGAGCTTTCTTCGACTGGCAATATCCTTCATCCTTGACTGAGCACTGTCAACTGTGAGATCTCTTCCATCTATAAAAAGAAATGAACTAACTAAAAATAACACTCTCTGTCTTACCTGCAAGATCTTTTATGTTCTGTCTTTCTACAACTTCAACTGCTTTCTTTTCAAGCTCCAAGTCCAGCTCAGTGTTGGTAAATTTCTTCTTATCAACGTCGCCTTTGAGAGAGACAAGGATTTTCTTAAAACTGCGTAACCTTTTCTTATGAATCTGAAAAAATAAAAATACAAAATAATCACAGAATTATTGTATAATCCTCACTTTTTGATTGAGCTTTATAGTTTTCTCAAGTGTCTCGATCTGATGTGCATCTTTGCTTTGTATGTTATCCATCATGAGTCTCTCCTGCAGCTCTTTGGTTACACGTAACATTTGAATGTCTTTAGCTTTATTTGTTAGATCCTCTGCTTCCATACGCAGTCTTTTCAGTTCCCTATTTTGCAATGAAATGAATGGGGTATGTGTAATACATGTATGTATATATATAAAAAGAAGAGTTCTAACCATTCCAGCATTCTAATCCCTTTCTTAAAATCCTTGCATTCCATCATGTGAGCCAATTTTGCCTCACCTAGAGTCTACACATGTACAGGGAATGAGATAAATTATAATCATTTATAATTATTATTATAGTTGTACTTTAATTTGATTGTTCAGTTCTTCAACTCCACTGCGATGTATAAGTACACTGTTACTGAAATCTGGAGCAAAATCTGATGCGTCTATCTCGACCTAATGAAAGGATAAAGATACAGCATAGTAACCATGTCCATCATGATTACCTGTCCTTGCTTCAGCAATAATTGTATCTCAGCATTGAGATCAGACACTGCCTTTTCATCATGCAGCCTATTGATTAAACATGTGCATTATAGCATTGCTTCAAGTTATAAATGTGGTAAAAGTTTGGGATGATTTTGGAGCCATTTTTTGAAAAAACCATGGGCTATAGCCTTGGGTATTTTTCAGAATTTTGACGTTTCTTTAAAATGGCTGTAACTTGAAAAATTGAAGTCGGAATCACTTCAAACTTGCTACACAGAATAAGGACATCAATATGTATCAGAAAATGTAATAAAAATTTGGGGTGATTTCAGAGCCATTTTTTGGAAAAAACCATGGGCTATAATAGCCTTGGGTATTTTTCAGAATTTTGACGTTTCTTTAAAATGGCCGTAACTTGAAAAATTGAAGTCGGAATCACCTCAAACTTGCTACACAGCATAAGGACATCAATATGTATCAGAAAATGTAATAAAAATTTGGGTTGATTTCGGAGCCATTTTTTGAAATAAACCATGGGCTATAGCCTTGGGTATTTTTCAGAATTTTGGCATTTCTTTAAAATGGCCGTAACTTGAAAAATTGAAGTCGGAATCACTTCAAACTTGCTACACAGCATAAGGACATCAATATGTATCAGAAAATGTAATAAAAATTTGGGGTGATTTCGGAGCCATTTTTTGGAAAAAAAACCATGGGCTTATAGCCTTGGGTAATTTTCAAAAATTTGACGTTTTCTTAAAATGGCCGTAACTTGAAAAATTGAAGTCGGAATCACCTCAAACTTGCTACACAGCATAAGGACATCAATATGTATCAGAAAATGTATAAAAATTTGGGTTCATTTCGGAGCCATTTTTTGGAAAAAACCATGGGCTATATAGCCTTGGGTAATTTTCAAAAATTTGACGTTTTCTTAAAATGGCTGTAACTTGAAAAATTGAAGTCGGAATCACCTCAAACTTGCTACACAGCTTAAGGACATCAATATGTATCAGAAAATGTAATAAAAATTTAGGGTAATTTTAGAGCCATTTTTTGGAAAAAACCATGGGCTATAGCCTTGGGTATTTTTCAGAATTTTGATGTTTTCTTAAAATGGCCATAACTTGAAAAACTGAAGTCGGAATCAGCTCAAACTTGCTACACAGCATAAGGACATCAATATGTATCAGAAAATATAATAAAAATTTGGGGTGATTTCGGAGCCATTTTTTGGAAAAAACCATGGGCTATATATAGCCTTGGGTATTTTTCAGAATTTTGATGTTTTCTTAAAATGGCTGTAACTTGAAAAATTGAAGTCGGAATCAACTCAAACTTGCTTCACAGCTTAAGGACATCAATATGTATCAGAAAATGTAATAAAAATTTAGGGTAATTTTAGAGCCATTTTTTGGAAAAAACCATGGGCTATAGCCTTGGGTATTTTTCAGAATTTTGATGTTTTCTTAAAATGGCCATAACTTGAAAAACTGAAGTCGGAATCAGCTCAAACTTGCTACACAGCATAAGGACATCAATATGTATCAGAAAATGTAATAACATTAATATTATTATTACTTTGTGCCTGATTCATGATACATGCATGTGCATTAAGATGCATTTATGTACAGACAGATATATCAATAACTTACTTATTTAGTTCAACAAAGTGGTTTTGAATGTCACTTTGAAACTGCTCACTCTCCTTTTCCCTCTTGTGCAAGAATGCATTCATTTCTGCTAGCCTCATTGCCATCTCTTTCACCTGCAGTACAACAATGACACACACACACACACATACTCCCTCGCTCTATTCCTTACTCTTCTTTCACTTTCAACTTTATAATGACGTGCTACAGTAAACCTCTCCCACTGGTAGAGCTCGAGTCCCTCGGGCATATTAGCAGGGCTGTCCAACTCACTCATCATTTCCTCTACAGTCCAATTACTGCTACCAACACTAGGCATCATTCCACTGGGCCTAGCATGGATGCTACCAGAGCTGGGATTGTCACTCTTCACTTCAGGGACTGGCTCAGCTTTTAACTTCATACCTCTGCCAGAAAGGAAAGGATAATATTAAACGTATGTACAATTTACAGATGTACACTTGTTTTAGTTACCTTGGGCGTCGTTTGAATAGCTTCAAAAGCTGATCAACGTGAGGCTCACAATCAGCAAAATCTTTCTTAAAACTTTTCTCCAACTCCTACATGATAATCATCTTCATAGATACTGGGCGCTTTTATGGTAATACTGTACTTTATCTTCAGTCATCATTTGCTCGTATGTTTCCTGATGTTCCTCTATCTGCTTCTTTGTAGTTAATATAGTATTAGTCACTAAAGCCTGGAAATACAGTACGTGTACATCAAGTTAATTGATGGTCTATGTATATGTACTTTGGCATTTTTATTTTCATCGAGCATCTTTTCTACCAATTCTTCTTTCATTCTTACTTCTTCTTCAACCAGTAAAGAAGCAGACAATCTAAGTATCTTTAACTCTTCCTGTAACAATAATTACTTTAATTTATCATTAACAATAATTATTAATTTATAATTAATAATAATAATTATTATTGTTCTTACCTCAAGAACAGTTTTCTCTGTTGCTACTTTAAGTTGGAACAACTTCATAACTTTCTCATCAAAAGCTTGCACTCCTTGAGATATTGTTTCCTGATGCTTTCTCATTTCTGCTTCTAAAGCCTAAAATTATCAAAAATAAAGCATAACATGTACATGTACACATGTACATCTACATGTAGTTGTGCTATATGCAAATATATAATACGTACTTTCTTCATCTTCTCTCTCTCTTCCAGCCAGGCTGCCTCCTTCTTTTCAAACTCGTGTTTCATTCTGATCTCATCCTCTGACATTTCTGATACATCCTTTGCCATGAAATCAGGTCGTGGTAGATCCTAGAAAAGTGACGCTGTACAATAAAACAGTTTTTGGTATTTTGTGGTCTGCACTTTAAAAAGCTCTTCTTCTGCATTTGCCTCCAGCCTCCCAGCCATCATCATATCCAGACCTCTCTCCCTCCAATTATCTCCCTAGTATAAGGATATTAATATCATCATAATTACATGTATGTACATGTACATGTACACAATACACAGTTATACATGTACTAGCTGTTTTGGAAGATCTGTAGTGTAAAATTTGCAAAAAGGTCCAGCGATTTTGAGAACAAGTATAGCCAAAATTAAAAAAAATAACTACTATACATGTACATGTAAATGTACATGTACATAAATGTATTGTGCTTACCATTTCTCTCCTTTTCCTTTCCTCTTCTTCTTTGGCTACCTCCTCCAATCTCTTCTTCTCTTCTGGTGATAAGTACTTCTCAATCTCGATCTCTTCGTCCGTCACTTTGAGGAGTCTCTCTGGTTCTTCGTCTGAGTCCAGTTTAGGATCAAATATCTCCTCGTTTAACTTCAAGTCGTTTGATATCTTTCTAATGCGAATGTTCTTTTCTTGTATGCGAGCTATTTCAAGGGTCTTTTGATGCAAGACCTCATCAAATTCCTTGTTAAAACTTTCCTTGATATTCCTTAAGCATTCCTAGAGAAAAATACATACAGTAGCAGCTAAGAACAAAAGGAGCCTATAATTTAAGGACACCATTGGACCCACACTACTTGTCCTTAATACATAGGTGTTCTCATTTTAGAGGTACTCTCGCATAGGTTTGAACCAATTAGGACATTACAAAATGCCCTCATTATAAAGGTGTCTTTATTTTATAAAGGCTCCATTGTACAGATAATAATACAGTTACATTACCTTAAGCAGGACTATCTGATGTCTCTTTGTGACAGGAGAGAGAAGCTCAAACTGATCATAAAGGAACTCAGTGTTGGCTCCATGCTCAGTGGCTCTACTACCGACCAGTGTGTGAGGCTCAGAGTCCTTTTCATCTTTCTTAGTGTCTTCTTCTTCTTCAAGCCCAAGATCCTTTAGTTTATGAATATTATAAATAGCGTGTGTGTGTGTCACTCACCAAAGCTGGTACTTGTGACTTTAAGGTCATTTTATTATCTGACAAAACTGTCTCTCTAATCTAAACAAGATTTACATATTATAATTAATATCACAGCTTTACCTTTCGCTCAGCCATTTCTATCCTCCTCCTTGTTTTCACTCTCTCCAGTAGTTGAAGTGTAGCCTTGCTTTGCTCCTTCAGAGGATAGTTGGTCACTTCAAAGCGATGTTGAAAAGCCTGCATCATGCAAAATATTGTCACACAAACATATACATGTAGGCCTGCTTATGAAAGATGACTTTTGTTAGACCAGCATATAAAGGCAATTATATGTACATATATAGATGTACAGTAGGTACTGTACATGCTTTACATGTAAATCTGCATTGATGTACATGTATACATGCTTGCATATGTACTATAGCACACACTTTGATTGCTTTTCCTTTAACTGTCATCTCATTCCAGCATTGCTTCTTTATCAGATTGTGCAAGTACATCTTTGCCAAGTTTGCTAGCTCTATGTCTTCCTTAAGTGAAGATATTTTCTCTTCTTCTTCCCTTTGGTGTCTCTGATGCTCTTCTGTGTCCAGGATAAACTCTGATCTCTCAAGTCTCTCCAGGTCATTCAGTTCCTCATTGGTCTCAATCATGGACATAACCTGTGATGGATGATGTAAAAAGTTGCTTGTAATAAAGATGGTTGGAGGTACCTTTTCTCTTAGGGCGTTTATCTCAAGTCTGAGTTGAGACTTTAGTTCATCGTATTTTTCATCTTCAGCTTTGTGTGCCTATTGTTAAAATTAAACAACAAAAAAGTACAAAAATTAAAATATTTTAGCAAAATAATCATTCCATTTACCAGTTCAGTTGCAGTCTCAAGCCAAGTATGCTCATTCTCTTGTCCCTGTATAGAAAAAACAATAAATTTCACTAGCACTATTCATATTCTTATACTTCTTGTTTCTCTCGTAGCTCTGGAAGGTTAGAAAGAACAGCATCTTCCATTTCTTTTGCTTCGCTCAGTTGCTGTATCTTTCCTTTTCCAAATTGAATAGCTTCGTTCAACTTGGTTTTGCCATGCGAGGTTATTCTACAAAAAATGTTTGACTATAATTAGATAGTAACATGAGCAAATTAGCTTGCCACAAGCACTGCTATTCTATATTTTGATAATTATAGTAATAATACACTTACTCTCCCCATTCCCAGCAAGTCAGTGCTGCTTTGTCACCGGCTGTTAAAAAATATTGTCCATCAGTAGTAGAGCTAACTTGACTTCCACCTTTGTTTTTATAATGATGAGGGATGCAGTGAAGTGTTTGTTGCTAAAGGAAAAAAAATAAAAAAGACACTAAATCTTATAAAAAGAAAAAAAGAGGGCCTGTCCGGGAGTTGAACCCGGGACCTCTCGCACCCTAAGCGAGAATCATACCCCTAGACCAACAGGCCACTTGCAGATCATACATGATGAATTCTATATAAAATACTGACCGGCATCTCAGTCTGTCTTAGAATGCATTTACCATCTTGTCCAATGGAAAGGAGCCATTTCTGATGAAAGGATAACTTATATACTGACTCAGGAAGCTCGTGAGCTGAAAAAGAACTCTTCAAATCATCTTCAGTTATCTAAATTAGAAAGAAAATTATAATTTATTATCGTATGCCAGCACTTACCATTTCCTTATCTGTGAGAGGTAACACAAGCTTACAGAGTGCTTTCGTCTTCCTCGGCACAACAAATATTTCATTATGTGGAGCAAGGATCATGCTTAACAGTGGAAAAGAGAAGCACAAGCATTTCTTTGATATCGATTTATTGGAGAAAAGCTTAGTTGTAGGATCTTCATATAAATCCTTGATATCGGCTTTAGAAAATAATAGTAATAATAATGAATATAATGCATTTATTATCATGCTATTACTTTCATCAGGTAATGCATTGGATAGTTTGTTGGGTAGATCAAACAGTGTTATAAGAGAAGTAGAGGAAGATGAACTTGAAGAAGAGGTTGTAGAAGAAGTTGACTCTTGATGTAGGCTAGCAGCTGTTGAGTGGACACCAATTTGTGTAGCATCATCAAAATACCAGCCTTTCGGTAGGATTGATATGTCTTGAATTTGAGAAGACACATCTAAATAAAGATTGACATTTTAAACCATTGTTTTCAGTACCAATGCATTTCTTTCTGCATGTAAATTTAATACTTAACTAGAGTCTAGCTTTTTTTTACAAAAATTAGAATATTTTCATTATTTTCTTTTTGCAGGCTATGCAGTAATCTACATGTAGCTTTTAATAAAAGATGCAGCGTAGTTTACAGTATCCATGCTGCAGCACACCTCTCACAGGATGGCCGCCGCGCGTCTGCTCAGGCTCTTTATCTCAAATGGCAGCTCTCTGAGCCCATGTGCCTTGCTCTGACAAAGAAGCGGGCAGGGCAAGAGGCGCTGTTTGCGTAGCCTTACTGAATGAAGAGCTGTACTGTTTGCATAGAGGGCCCTGCTCCAGGCTGCCTAAGCTACGGAGTTGGAAAACATGAAGGCGGCTCTTCTACTGCTTGTCTCCTTCGCAGCACTCCTGCATCTCGTGGCGGGATGGGGCAGCCAACGTTCAAGTAAGTAGTAATATGACTTTTGCCAGGACTTACCACTGATTCCCTGCATAGAAATGGTGTATTATGTCAAGCCAGGGGAGGAGACCCGTTTCTGGAGGGCTCCAGGCCAGCACGTCCCTCCACAGACTGGCAGAGCAATTCTGGTTGCTGCATACTTTGATATGAATGGGATAAAAGGTTCTGTAGCATTCTATCAAGAAAAGGAGCATGAGCCAGTCACTATAACACTATCCCTAAGTGGCCTAAGCCAGTTTGGTGGGAATGAAAGGTGGGGATGGCACGTACACGAATATCCTATAAACTGGGCACATTTGGAGCGAAATCCCTGCAATACCGAACACATTGGAGGACATTATGATCCAGAGAATAGAGCAAGTGATCCAAATTATGCCCAACTTTGCATGAACAATGCAAGTCTCTGTGAAGTTGGAGACCTTGGCGGACGTCACGGCCACCTCAGAGGCAACCAATCAGTCTATACATTTACGGACAATACTTTAAACTTATATGGCCCTTATTCTATTGTTGGACGATCTCTGATAATACATCGTACAAATGGTTTCCGCTATGCGTGTACGAATATTGAGTACAATGGTATTTCAACCATTCACACGTACAGAGCTGCTTTCCCATGCAATGTGAAAGAGCAGAGTCCAGTGTTTCAAGGAGAAGTGATCATGAGGCGTAGTGCACTCCGTCATGGTGTCACTCTTGAAGCAAATCTCTACCGGGTTGATGGAGGGTCTATAAACACTACGCATAACTGGTATCTTAAGAGCGATGGAAACTTTAACGTTGACTGTAGCGTGTGTAAAAATGACAATGCTGATCTATTTGTAAGTTGACTGTAAAAATAGATTTTCTATAAATTGCACAAATTGCATGCATAATTGTACATGTACATGCATGGTACAATCATACTAATAATAATAGTTTCATTATTAAATTTGCTTGCATGTAACTGTAGGTATTTGGTAATAGGACTCATGGTAGCAGTACCAATCCGTTTGCTGGTTGTGGTGCAGCTACGAGAGCCCAGCACCTCAAGTGTCCTTATGGTGACTTAACTAGGAAGTGCGGGCCACTTAGCTATACAAATGGCGACCAAATCCAAGCATTCTGTACCGACACACAGCTTGGAATCTACCCGTATGAATCAGTCAATGTTAATACTATACTAGTGATAGAGGATGAGGACGGGAACAATCTTGCCTGCGCCAAGTTTGAGCCAGTTGTCCCGGTTGCAGCAAACATTGATATCCGTAATCGCAATGTCTATGTCGCTGGACGACTCTTCCAGTACGACCCACACGATCCGACGTACGTACAATTCTACAACACAAGATTAGGGACGGCTTCACATTTCCAGGTCCGAGCCCATCCAGTTCCACCCGATGGTTCCTGTACAGGGCTTGGACCAGTTTACGAGCCCCGGTTTAGATTCACAAATCTTCCCAGTTCTGTCTTGATTAACCAGACAGGAGATAGGGATTTCCTGGGAGAGTTGCAGAACAAAATCATTGTCCCGAATCAAAGCATTCGCAATTCTTATTACCAGCGTACGTCTTACCTACCACTGTTTGGTGACTACAGTGTCATTGGTCGCTCATTCGTCGTCCTTGATAACAATGAGTTCGTGATTGGGTGTGGTAACATTACAGATGCCGATCCAAATAGGGATGAGAATTTGAGAAGATCTTTAGAATTTTACCATAAGCCAAGACCCTGGTACGAGTAAGGATTGCTAGTATTATAACTTAATTGCCTTTCTTATTAATTAATTAATTAATTATACATTTTGACTGCACTGGTTCTCCTATCTCTCCCTCTCTCTATTACTGTGAGCATATTACAGCTTATAATTGCTTTGTAATAATTTTTTTCTTTTTTTCTATTTTTGAATAAATGTACATGTACATGTACTGCACATGTCTAAATTGGTAACTCGATCATTATATAAAATAATATGTATCTAGTACATGTACACAAGTACATATACATATAATTTAGAATGTTTCTGCTCTGATAAAATACATGTACATTTACTTTGGTATTACCTGTATACCCTAAAACTTTAAATCCATTTTGAAACGTTGCCGAAACTATGAAGACTGATTTATCAACTGCACTTGAGCAAGCAATGAAATGACCAGGAATATCACACCTAATTTTAATTTTAAAAAAATAATAAAACAATTAAATAATAATAATTATACATGTAATCATCGTTGGCTTACTTTAGTTTACCAATCTCATTCTTAAATAATCTTATCTTATGGACTAGTCTTGGTGAGTCTATGGAAGGAGCAAAACTGATCAGTATCAAGTGACCAGTCCTAGTTCCAACCACAGCAGTCTGTGAGCTGATTGGACATACAAGAGAAGTACAATCCCTTCTCAAGTGAAGAGAGGACAAGTGGTGCCCTCCTCTTAGTATGTCCCAAACTTGGACTAATCCATCTTCTCTACATGTCTGCAATGATAAATACATACATGTACATGTACAGAATATGCCATTAAGCTACTGTACATATCCACTTTTCTTACAATGCATAGTCTTGTTCCTGGTGACAGAACATCCAGTCCGACAAGTGGTGCTCTTTCATATTCAAGTATTGGCGAGTGTTGTGAGAAATCGTCTAAATCTAATCTGAAAGCACTACCCTGAAGACAGGAATGGTAAAACAATTAAGAGAGAGAGAGAGTTAAGTACTAAATGCACACAATATGCTTTTTACAGTGTCTGTTCCTACTGCTATGCACTCATTGCAGGACATTGTGACGATATTGTGATTATCAATCTTGAAACTGTCAACAATGTGGAAATCATTCGACGGGTTAAAGCAGTAAATGTGACCATCCTATACACAATGAGAACATTAATTTAATAAAAATGCAATAATTACAAAAAAGATAATGCATACGTACATGTACATATACCAACCTTTCCAGCAGTGAGTAAGCCCCTGGGGCAGATTGATAAGCAATCCACTGATCCTTCACATAAAACAGCATGAGCTGTCTTAGGTAGATCGTCTTCATGGACAGTAGATGTACTAGCAACTTCCTATATGCCACAAAACAATAAATAATGCAATGGGATATCTCATTAAATAAGTACAATCTCTCTTACTTCAACTTGGTTTACTATCATTTTCATGCTGGAGCTCTCCACATCAACCAACATGATCTGTCCACCAGAAAAGCCAATGTAAAAGCTGGACTGGTTGGTCCAGACGTGTGATACAGGTATAACTGGATACCACTGCAAATGAAAGTCATTATTATAACAAAAAATACATGTATATGTATATATATGTAGGTAAATATCCATGTAAGAGTAATTAGGCTAAATAAGTTTGTTAGACTATATAAAAATCATCTTACAAATGCTGCTAACACATTACTTACTTTTTTGACTCTATCATCATAGGTCTTATCATAGAAAACATTGGACATATTAGTTGCTCCTTCTTTCATTCCTCCTCCTTCTCTTTTCGCTCCATCAGTGACACTCTGATGGAAAGCATTGGCATGAACCACTGTACCAACTGGTGTTGATCTTTCTGGTAGATTTATAGATCTAAGAATTAAAAAAATTTTAATGACATAATGGTGTTATTACTATGCTTCCAAGAGCTCAGCATATACTACACCAGCAGGGTTTCCCACAAAGCATGCTAGGTGAACTAAAAAACATGAGCTTCATGAACTGACAAGCACTACAATACAATACATGGGATTTGGAAAATGTAATAAAAATGGAGAATTCTCTCTTAGCCATTTTTGACAAAATTTGGCCAAAATCCATCTACTATAAAGGACAGGTAAAAGGTACAGGGACTTTGGCCCAATTTTTTAAGTGCAACTTTACAACCAAACTTGATCAAAATTAGCTCAAACTTTCTACACATGCAACAAATCTCTCTCTCACATTGAAGTCAGGATCATTTGGGTATCACATGACTCCACACTCCAAAGTGAGAGTCTATCTTCACTGATGAGTGCAAGCTGCTTCCAGTTAACAGGATTGAATGATATGGTAATGTGACCTCCTGGAAGCTTCTGAGCAACAACCTCCTTGCATAAGTCAATCCCATCTTTAAGATTCCTATAATTTAAATAAAAAATCAGTAAATTCAATGGAAACAGTGTGCACCATATTGTTAGCAAGAAGTCAGGTATTCCAGAAAGACTGGCCAGCTTTTGTCCATTACTTGAGAAAGCTATCGACTTATATTCTAATTTTGCATCACCTGCAATAATAACATGGAATATATTGAAAAACTAATGATAGAAATATCTTCATCAAAATACCTTTTAATGAATGAATGACGGTACATTTTGGATATTTCAGCACAAATATAAGTGGCTCTAAGCTGGACTCAGCATAAGCAACCAGTCCACTTTCCCTAGAGACTGCAATAGGGCCAATGCCCTTCCCTTCACTTGGGATACTGTTCAAACTGGCTCCGGTGCTGGCCTGGACAAAGTTTAAAATATTTCCAGAGCTATAGACCAAAACGTCTCTTGAGATAAAATGAAGCGGAGTGGCTTGATACCCGCATGCCCATCTAAAGAATAAGCCTGTTTGTGATGGGGAACGATAGATATTGGACCTACTTTAGTTTTAGTTTTCCAAAGGAATCCGCCATTTTTTACCCGATGCAGGGTTGCTACGCAACGAGATCACGTGATGCAAGTCTTGAGGGTTAAAAATAGGAAAATCCAAAATGTCTTTTCATAGGCTCCAAAAAGCAACTCATTCAATTGTTAAAATAGTGAGAAATATAATAGGCATGTTTTGAAATTATTAATTTTTAATTATTAGAAATCTTCAGGCCACAACTTTCTCTATCGCTCACAATCTAGCAGGTATTAATCATAAATTAAAATTAATTATAATAATAAATATTATTGATTTAATGCTTAAACAGTGCTACGAAAGGGAGTAGCTTACGACGGGCACTATTTGGAATTACGTTAATATCTGGGGGCGTGGTCGGTGGAGCAATAGCATACGGTCATCATGATCCAAACTTTAAACAATCAGTGGATGCATATATACCTGGATTTAGTAATGTAACCGACAGATCAGTCATACTATTGAATAAAGGAACAGAAGTAATGAAACAGATCATGTTACCAGAGAAATGGAGGAGCCCGACTCCTCCTGTTGATGATGTGAAGTCATCGTCTTTAGCTGATAAATTAGAATCGGAAAATATTCAAGACAATTCAAAAACTTCGTCTGAGACTGATCAATCCAAGACTGATCAATCCAAGTCTCCTCCCACTGCCCCACCCACTACTGATCCTGTACCAGCCACTGTCCCACCCACTACTGATTCTGTACCAGATCCTCCTCCTCCTCCTCCTCCTGTGGTATCGTCTGATCCAACAACTAAAACTGTTCCTCCTCCATCAACTGAAGCCACACCTCCTGACACTCCTCCTGATGCCACGCCTTCTGATACTGTACCATCTTCCGAGACAAGTGTTGTATCTATAGAAGCCACACCTACCAAAAGCACTGCATCTGAAGCCATCCCACCTGTAACTACCACGCCTCCTAGTGTTGCTAGGTTACAGGAAGTGTTTGAACGATACAGTGAAGGATCTGATACCGTATTGAGCTGTATCGATGAGTTAAAAGCATCACTGGATAAACGTAACGAGAGGATGATAGAAGACTTTAATAATCCACCAAAAGATGAGAAAGAGATTGAAAATATAGTTGGTAAGACACTAATGATGACGATGATGATTAATAAAATAATGGAATATATATGAGTTTTTAAACATGATGATTTTCTATCATGATGGACACTGCAATGTACATGCATGTACTTTATATGCCTTATTCCCTGAAAGGTGACATAATGACTAATGAAGGTGCTGTTGATAGTGCTAAAGAAGAGTTGAAGAGAGCAAGAGAGAAGCAAGTAGACTTATCTGATCAATTGACGAGTGCTATAGATGCAGCTAGAAATGATGGAGCCACTGAACTAGTGGAAATGGTTAGTGTTTTCATTATGTACATGTACATAAAAAACTTTTAAAAACTCATTCCTTATTTCAGGTTTGTGCCAAAGTTGGCGAATACACTGCATCTATTGAGAAGAGAGAAGAGTTCATCAAAGAAGCAGAGAAAGTGTACGAGACTCAATTTCAGGAAAGAGAAGAGAAACAAGAAAGCGAAAAGATTGCTGCTTTGATGAATCAGATTGAAGAATTGAGAGAAGAAGGCAAAAAAGTGCTAGAGAAAGGTATTGTTATGGTGGACATTTCTAAAAGTATTACTGTTTATTTTAGCTTTACAAGAGCAAAAAGATGAACACGATGAGATTTTGAAAGAAAAACTACGCGAAACCATTGAAGACAAAGAGAAAGAGTTTCAGAGAGAGCTAGAAATGATGGTAGACAAAGAAAAAATGAAGACTAGAAAAAGGATATACATTTTGCGTTGTATAGGAGATGGAGCTGAGAGAGAACTATGAGGAAAAGATTAAAGAAAAATTGTACTACCAAGCTGAAGCCCAAGCAGCTTATACTAAGAAATACCTCGAGGAACAGGTACAAACCATCATTCCCTTTTCTTTAGATTTGGCATGTTGTTGTTATTGCTGCAGGCTGAAGAGATTAGCAAAGAACTTGAAGAGAAGCACAGAAGAGCTGAGAATGAGTTAGAAGAAGAGTATCAAAAGAAGCTTGCTTGTGCTTATGCTCATCTAAAGGGGATACACTCTATGATCAATACTGTAGTTGAAACAAGTTGGTCCATCATTACATTAAGCTTATAGTCACCTCTCTCTTTCTAATTAGGTCAGAGTACAAGAAGACAGCAGAGTGTTAGAGCAGCATCAGATGCTCTTACTAACGCACTCATTGCCGCTAATGCTGATCCTAACACGTACTCAAGGCATAGTATAAAATCAGAAGTGAAGATGTTACATGAAACAGCCAAAAATGATACCTTCATACATGCTATCCTCTCTGCCATTCCAGCTGAGGTCTTAGAGGATGGCCTTGTATCAGAAGCTAGTCTTAAAAACAGGTTTACCAGAGTTAAGAAGATTGCTGGCAGGGTTGCCCTGGTCCCAGAAGAGGGAGGAGGTCTGGGTGTGTACCTCCTCTCCTTCCTCCAGTCACTGCTGACTATTGATATGGTACACCCACGCATTACGTCCTCTGGTCTCTCGTCTGTCGATCCAGAGTCCCTCTCGACCTTTGACCTCTTGCGTCAGGCAAAGTTCTCACTGGAAGCTGGGGATTTGGAGACCAGTGTTAGAGTCCTTAGCCAATTGAAAGGAGAATCCAGAAGGGTTGTGAGCGATTGGCTACGAGATGCTGTTCTTTATTTAGAAACGAGGCAGGCTATCATGGCCATTAGTGAATATCTGGCAGCTTCAAGTGCAGCTGTACTGCAACAATAACGAAATAATACATTTATATAGTTTAATGATTTTTGTTTAAAATCAATCTTCAATCTTGTAACAACTTTTGTGTGTGTGCATTTTGTACATAATTGTAGATCATAATAGTTCATGATTTGAGAATCAATCTAAGTTGACTTGACTCTGGTATGGGAATGAGTACCAGCATGGAAAACTGGGAATGAGTACCAGCATGAAAAACTGGAAATGAGTTCTCAACGGTCTGAGTTTGAGGACGGATTGGAGTTTGGTGTAGGTGTGTCAAATGTGAGAGCTTTTCTTGGCGTTTTCCTGGTCCTCGTCTCCAGTCCTTCCATCCCTTTCCTTGCAGCTTTGACTGCTTCTCTCTTTCTCTTCTTCATGTCCTCAAACTCCTGCAGATCAGTCATTTTAAAACTTATACGAGACAGTTTCTGAGGAAGCATGGCGCTCGGGTGCTAAGTAATTTGTGCGTGGGAGTTAAAGATCAGGGACCTGGAGATGAAGCTAATATTACTGGACCCCGGGACAATCTTTCGCAAGGCAAGGAGCGGAGGAGGAAGAGCCGAAGAGGTGCGAAGCAAGTGAAAGCCAATATTCTGTAGTGGGACAAGATGTCAGAGATCCTTCCTTGTCAAATAGAAGGGCTGGACGGGTCCATTGTTTCTGTTGATGTCGCGGTAAGGCAAAAAGACTCAAAACATTATTATAATAATTCAATTTAAAATTTTCTCTGTATAAATATACATGTACTTCACCTCCCACTAAACTGACAGAAAAGGGCAACGGGAGAGCAATTATTGAGAGATGTCTTCTCTCATATTAGCCTGGATGAGAATGACTACTTTGGATTGCAATACTTTGACAAGAAAGAACAACTGGTAAGAAGACATTTTTGATCACACTTTCTCAGCACCTAATATAACATTATTAATAATACATTATTATCATTATTATTACTATTAATGTTGTAATTCAGATTTATATGGTCATTGTTCACAAAGATGAACAAGTAGTTGACAATGGTTGTTCGATCATAGCCCTTTTGTAGGGACACATTCCAAGCATTCCTTGAAGCCATAGAGTGCTGCCCTCACTGTGGTTGCTTCCACTACAAATTAAATATTAATGCAGCTTATTGATATTACTGAAGACCACACGCTGCAATGTATTTGTCAACAGTATAACTATTAATGATTTAATTACTATAATGAAGTACTGGATAAGCGAGCATGTGCATGTCATGTGTTTCAGAAAAATGGAATAAAAATTGCGAATGTTTTTGGAGCCAATTTATTAGGAAAGAGAATTTCGAATCAGTTGCAACTTAGTTAGAATCAACTCTTTTTACATGGGCAAAAATGTATACATGTACATGTATCTAAAAACCCTTACATGTATGTACATGTACTCTTGGCTAAAATGTATTGATATTTTAATATTTATTTTATTTATGTACAGAGATGGCTCGATCCTTTGAAGCCAATCAGAAAACAATTAAAAAGTAAATATAATAATAATAATAATCGCACATTTTAACATACTTTATTCTCCCCGTATTAAGATGGTCCTTATAACTTCCGCTTGCGTGTTCGTCTCTACCCCACATCCCCAACATACCTTTTTGATGAATCAACAAGATATTACATATCTTTACAAATACGTGAGGACCTCCTCTCTAAGAAGTAAGTTACAAGTAGATCAACTTTATGTTTATTCATTTTTGCTCTGTTTTATCTGTCCTTAGGCTGTTGTGTTCTGAGGATACCAAAGCTTCTTTATACAGTTACTTAGTTCAAGGTTGGTGGGTGTGGTTAGTGAAGGATGACTGTGTGTGTGTTTGTGTAGGTGAGTTTGGTGACTATGACCCGAGTGAGCATCAGCATGGATACCTTGATGACTTTAATATGTTAGAAGATGAGGTAAGAGGAGAGAGGGCGGGAGAGAAAAGGAAAGTATGAATCATAAATTAATCCTCCTTTATAGTCGCCTGATTTTGTTGATAAAGTCCACATTCTTCATGTCCAGAACAAGTAAGTTTAATTAGTAGTAGTAACTACTGTCACTTATCATGTGATAATCATGTGATCCAGGGGTATGCTACCTTCCGAATGTGACAAGAAGTTTCTTGATCTCTCGTGTCGTCTTGATCGATACGGCATGGACTTCCATCAGATTGTTGTAAGTATATAAATAATAATTAAAATGAGAATGACTTATTTTCTATTCTCGTCCCTTTTAGGATTTTTCAGGTGTGCGGCTATGGGTGGGTGTGACATGTACTGGTCTGACTGTTTATTGTGGGCAGGAGCCATTGCTAACTAAACTCAATCATTTCCCGTGGTACGTACATATACATGTACATGATAAAGTAGAAGTGCATGTTCATTTGAATATATACAGTACTTGTGCTATTGTGCAATTTAAGTTTTGTCTATTGTTTGATTCATTCATTGAACTTTGTCACATCCACAGGGTTAGAATAAGTGGAGTGAACTTCAAAAACAAGCAACTCCTGTTAGAAATGACTCCATTACCGGTATGTCTAATACAGCACATAATGTACATACATGTATGTATTCTATTATACCACACACACACACACACACACACACACACACACACACACAGTCATTCTCCCATCAAGAGGTCATTGGGTTTACGTGTGCTTCTCGCTCAGCTTGTAAGGAGCTTTGGAAATCGTGCGTGTGTCACCACAGCTTCTTCAGGTAGGAGAGAAAGATGGCTGATATCTAGTTATTAGGTTCCCTTTGTAGGACAACTCGGACCGAGAGGATGCCTCCTGCTAAGATCGGTCTCTTTAGAAGAGGCTCTACATTCAGATACAGGTAAAGCAATGGTCACACGATCGTCACATGACCAGTGCGGTTAAGTACTTAAGTCCATGATGACATATTCTTACCACGGTTTTTGAGAATCATTTATGATAAGAACATCTCTAGAAACCTGAGACTTAAACATGTACTACTGAATTGTTATTATTATTCATAATTTCCATCACATGATGAAGACTGTTATCATAAGCTTATCTGTCATACTATTTCTTTGTTTGTGTATAGTGGTCGCACTCAATTCAAGTTACTACAAGATGGTACTACTGTTACCCGTAGGAGCAGTCGAAAATTTGACAGGTTAGCCATAAAAAAAATACAATATCTTGATAGTCCTTCATGTATTAAAAATTTACACTTTTTTAGATTGTCTAGCCGAAATAAGATTGCCAGAAAAACTATTTGAAGATGCAAAAGACGATTTCCTTTTTTTAATAATAATGATAATAATTTATTTTCCTTTTATTCTCCATTTACATGATATTTTATTGTCAGTAATTAATTATTATAGTACACAATCATTTTTAATAAGAAGTTAATTAATAATTAATTAATTGCCATTAGGGGGTGTGGTCTATTTCCTAAGTCTCTCCGAGGGGAAAGTGGCAGTAGGAGGGGGAGGAGGCCCCCTGCTGTGTAACTCGTCAATGTAATGGTATAAAATAGTGGTCCTTTCTTCCTCAATACAGTCAAGGATCAAGTAACGTTGATCATTCTGTGAGGAGAGAGAAGAGAATTAAAAGTAATAAGTGTGGCTAAACAAGCGTAACAGGGTAAAAAGTATTCCTATAATTGATTTCACCACCTTGCAAGTACAACTTGGTCATTATTAAGACTTATAGAGGTTCTCTCTACCTTATAATGCTTCTAGAAAAGTTTTTAGACAGTATCTCTATGCTCTCTTGCTGTTAGAAAGCTCTTAACTTTGTCCCATGTGTAAGCCGCCATTTTGTTTGCCGTGACCACACCCACTCACGTAAAGGAGCGTGGGCGGGTGGTTGCTAAGGATTGTTATTTCTCCAATACAACATGTATAGAAGAAATGTAAGTGTGGACATACAAATATATATATATATATAGATAGCGCGACGGTGAATTCAATTATAGGAACGACCTGGGGGCTTCGCCCCCAGGTCGTTAATAAAATGTATAAGTACAATTAATGTACTGCTAAAGTCTACTATTAATTGATTAAAATTAATAATAATAATTTTAAAGATAACACAAACTTTCAGTGTCTCAATAATGTCCTTTAAATGACGATCGGAAGATTCGATGACTTCTTTACTCCTTAAAATAAATAAAATAAATAAAATAGATAAAATAAATAAAATAGATAAAATAAATAAAATACAATAGGGCTATAGTGCAATATCAGTTGAAAATATAATGCACTAACTTGAATGTTATCATTTTTGTTTCTGAGAGGAGGGATCTGAAGTCATCTTTTGCTTGCTTCATCTTATCGTGAAGGAACCTCTCATACTCGTCTTCACGATCCTACAGGAGGAGAGAGAGAGAGGGATACCGTGTTACTAGCCTAGCCGAGAGTATTCTGTTGAGTCCTTACATGATCACTGTCAGAGTAATTCTTGTATCTATAGTCTTCTTTGATGTACTTCCTTGCTTTCTTCCAGGGCATAGTAAGAGTGATCTATTATTAGAAATGTAGTTTAATACAAAGAATTCTCTCGTTTTCATTTTTAGTGAAATTTGGCCAAAGTCCCTGGCCAGATTTTGAGTAACTTTTGAAATTTGTAAAAAATCCAAATTTAATCGGAATCAGCTCAAACTTAAAACACAACATAAGAACATGTATACGTATCAGAAAATGTAATAAAAATTGAGAATTCTCTCCTAGTCATTTTTGGCAAAATTTGGCCAATGACCCTGTACTATAGTACAAGGACTTCGACCCAATTTTTGAGTAACTTTAAAAATTCGTAAAAAATCCAATTTTAATTGGAATCAGCTGAAACTTAAAAAACAACATAAGAACATGTATACGTATCAGAAAATGTAATAAAAATTGAGAATTCTCTCCAAGTCATTTTTGGCAAAATTTGGCCAACGACCCTGTACTATAGTACAGGGACTTTGACCCAATTTTTTGAGTAACTTTAAAAATTATTAAAAAATCCAAATTTAATCGGAATTAGCTCAAACTTAAAACACAACATAAGAACATGCATAAGTATCAGAAAATGTAATAAAAATTGAAAATTCTCTCCTAGTCATATTTTGCGAAATTTTGCCAACGACCCTGCAGTACTATACTACACTATAACTTAATGCCTAGCATTGCCTACTTTAGTAGTTTCTTCTAATAGCTTTCTAAACTGAAGTCGTCTTTTCTTAGCAAGTTGTGACACGTGCTCCCTGAACAGCTTCTCCTTCTCGGCTAAGTCTATCAACTCTGACAGCTCCCACCTCTGGTCCTTCCTAAGCTGTCTTTTGCTCTCGGTCCAAGATGAGAGAGGGTCTTTAATTAGGTCAACAAGAAGGGACGAAAAGTGTTGCTGTGCTTCTGTTCGGCGGAGCTGCTCTCTCTCAATGTCCCACTGCTTCTCTTGGGCAGAGCGACTGAGCTGGACTTCTCTTTCTCTCTCTCTGAGACTGGCGGCAATAAGCTCCTGCTTCTCATCCTGCAAGGAATGTAAAAATAATTAATAATATATACATGCACATGTACTGTACTACTGCATACATCTACATGTCACAGATAATTTTTAGAGAGCAATTTTTTGTAAATTACTAAAATCTATAGTGATCAGAATTATTTAAATTAGGCAAATTTCTGAACATGCAAGCTTACATAAAATGGTTCAGAATGGTTGGTTTTATTTTGGTGAGTGGCTCTAAATTTTAAATTTTAAAGAATCCCCCCCCTCACTTACTCTATTCAGACATTTAATATACTCGTTAAACAATTCTTCTCTTCTTGACGAGCTCTCAATAGCTTTGTATCGCCTATCCTTGTGAAATGAGGACTTGACTTTCTTCCATTGTGACTTGTCACTCAAACTATGATCTTCCTTCAGCATGGCAAGGAAATCATTCTTCTCCTAATAATAATAATATCAAAAAAATTAAATATAATCACTATAACAATAATTAGTTTTTTATTTCTGACATACTTTAACCACACCCAGTACTAGTAAAAGACCACGCCCATAACCACACCCATCATTAATCGCATGTACCTACTGCTGCATCTTAATCACCTTTTCTTCTTTAGTTTTTTGAGTTTGTTTCTGTTCCTCGTTTCTTTGTTTGTTCGCTTTTTTAAGTTCATTTAGGTGCTCATTGAATAAAGACTCCCTCTCCTTCATCTTCTCAATAACTTTAAACTTCTCACACCTAGCATACTGTCTGATGAACTCAGTGAATGTTGATCTATAAAAAGACGAATGTTAATACCAAATTACCAATAGATACACAGTTGAGTTTGAAATTTTAGTGAATTTAAGGAAAGGAATTGTAATTTTAATATAAAATTGATACATAAATTAACATCATTTATTACTAATTTAGAATTTTAAAAAATGCTAAGTTAGTAGAGGCCAAACCTCCAATAGATCAAAATTGGTACACATCATTAAAAGTGGACTTACAACATGCACGCATTTAAGCTACATGTACATGTACATGCATACCGTATACCGGTTTATTTTCGTGGTAAAAAATTTTCGCGAATCTTGCATTTCTAAGTTTTCGCGGAATTAATTTTCGCGAATTGCTTGCAGACTGCACCACGTGGCAATGGAGAGCAGAATTTCGCGGTGAAAAAATTTCGCGAATGATCACTAAACCGTGAAATTCGCGAAAATATTTTACCACGAAAATAAACCGGTATACGGTACATGTAAATTAATGTATATGAAACTGGGATTCACTTTGCAGTGATTTTGCAATCTTCTCTTAGAAAGGTCATAAAGGTGTCTCTCTTCTCCTTAGCTTTACTCTTCCTTTCCTTAAGCTCTGCTTCAACTCGAGCAGCAACAAACTCATCAAAAGCAGCTTTCCTTTCTTTAGCGAGTAACAACTGATACCTCTCATCGAATACAAACTTTGGTAGCTCTTTCTCCCAAGTAGAGAATGCTGACACCTAAAATGACATGAATTGTAGATAAACATGTACCTTCAGAAATGTTTGAGTGATTAAATCTTATATTAAGATGACAATCATTGTGACATACATGTACATCTAAATAATACATTATCATACTGTATAGTGCTGGTTTTTACATGTACATGTATACATAAACATTTCTATTTCATAAAATTTTAGAGTTTTGTGCACAATTTTACGACCCAATCAATGAATAGAGGACAGTCAGGACACACCTCTCTCTCCAGTAGCATTGCTTTGAATATTTCTGTTCTCTCCTCTAGTGATACCCTGGCTCTCATTTCTGCTGCTTTCATTTCTTTCGCTCTCTCGGCAACTTCAGCTTTAACAGCTGCAGAGAGGTCAACCTCAATCCCCTCCATCTTGACAGGATCAGGAGGGAAAAGGTGACCTCCCTTTTCCTCTTCTGCAGAATCCTCATCCTCACCAACCAAAGCAGCTAATCTAGGGATCATAATTAATGTCAGGTGATTCAACTGATTATATACTCACTTCATTTTCTTTGTGGCTGGTTCCTCCAATTCACCAACTCTCTCTAATAATAAAAAACATAAACTACTGTAATAAAAATATACACATATATAATACTTACATGTACATGTATGTCATTTAAGCTACATGTAGATGCACAAATGTATACATGTATATGCTTGCATGTCAAGTGTACACATGTACATGTACATACAAAGTATTTATGTAAATAAGTTCTTCCAAGGGCTAGTAGATTTACATTATAATGCCTAAAATACTCAAAAAGTTGTACTCTTAATGTCACAAAGGAAAAAGAGAGAGAGAGGAAGAGAAAGCTCACGTTTTTTCCACGGAGGTGCTTCAAGAATCTTAAGTACAAGCGGATTATGAATCAGCTCTGGCGGGAGCTTCCAGTACGACTTACGACTAGTAGCATCAAAGAAGAACTGCTTTCTATCGCTGGTAAAGACAACAGACCATGGGGTACCAGCGACAGGCACACTATCAATTGGATGAGGGCCTTTCCTCTCTTCAATTTTAGGATTCGGAGCCATTTTGACTGGAAGAGAGGGAGGAAGAGTAGGAGGAGAAGGACCTGTGCCTAGTTTAGCTGCTACTATCGCAAGGAGCTCTTTCTCGTTCATTTCCATTGGCTCCGTCTGATCGGGTTTGGTAGAGTCCGAGTTGCCAGGCAAGAAGGAGGAAGAGGAAGGAGGGAGGAGGTGATTAGAAGGAGGGAGACCTGTACTAACTGTAGGTGGATCAAAGCTGCTTTGGGGAACAAGGACAGGCTACAAATAATCAATAATAGGAATTATGACTATAAATAAAATAATGATCTTTTATTACTTTTAAGTTATCTTCATCGCCTATTGATTGGTCAATGACATCAGCATTAGCTGGTACTAAAGAAGTGGGTGGGGTTTCAGAGGAAGTAGGCATGGCCTCGGAAGAACGGAGAACGTCCAGGTTAGCGGGGAGTGGCATCACAAGCTCAAAATCGGTTGGTTTCTCCCAGGATGACTGGCGAGTGACTTTATTGTAATAATAAGTTCTGGTATCATCATCAGGGGACTTGTGCTCTGACCACACCCTCTGGGGAATGAGGGGGACCCCCAGGGGTAAGGGGGGAGGGGCACCAGGACCTGGTAATTGAGAGAAAACTGAAGGCATGAAGATACGTGTAAAGTATACATGTAGCTCGTAATTTTGAAGGGATAAAATTGCCAGTTTTATCGCCATTCGCTAAAATAAACAAATCCGACCACAAGCTGTAAGTGGCTTTTTAATTTCCACTGCTATATTGCACTAAATTAATTTTCGCAGATTTTATTATCACAAATCTTCAAAAATTGCAAAAATTTTATTAATTATAAACCCTCTCACCTGGTTCAGGTTTATTAAAAGGTACGATCCTAGCACCGGCTGGTCTCTCCCACATTGTCTTTTTAGTCGTCGGCTCAAAATAATACACCGATCCATCACTAGTACTGTGCTCCATCCATATAGGCCCATCCTCTTCAGTGGGTGGAGCCTGTAATTAATTAATTAATTAATTAATTAATTATTCATTACTTGTCAAAATTACTTTAAAAGGTATTTCGGGTCTCATTAGCAGTCCCGGATTCGTTGGCATGACAACATGAGGAGGAGGGTTCCCGGGGAAAGGCGGCAGGAGCAGTGGGCGTGGGTCCATGCCGGGGAGAAGGGGTGGGGCCAAGGGCGGAGACACAAGGAGAGGAGACTAAAATAAAAACAAATTTTAAAAATTGAGTCGTACATATACATGTACATGTAGCAAAATTTTGGTAGCCATTCATTATAAAACCAGCCATTATGAACATGCTCAATGGTACATGGCTACAGATTTGCTAAATTAAAACCAGGCAATAACCACCCTCCAAAATCAGCAGATATGGTTATCTGTATGTGTATATACATCATGTATTTACCTGATTAGGGATCTGATTTGATGAATCAGGAGACAAAACTAGAAAATAAAGGACGGACATAATGTAATACATACATATACTGGTGCCATAATGTCCATGGATATCTATATACATGTATGTGTGGTACTATACTGTTCAAGAAAATGTCATAATAATTATGCATCGTCCCTACCAATTGAGGAAGGGTTTACGTATAATTAAGTGACAGACACATCACGTGACTGTAGTGTGACACCTGCTGCTGGGGGGCGGGGCGCGGGCATGGGAGGAGGAGCTCCAAAAGACATGGCGGGTAGAGGAGGGACCGGCTGGAATTTACCTCCTGGAGGACTAAAAGAGGAGAATAAAGAGAAACAATTCATTATATGACTAACCCAGACGTGGGGAGAGTAAGTGGAAGGTCATTCTCTTGAGTACTAGAGAAATTCGCCATTTTAATACCTAAAAGTATACGGAATTTAGGATTACGAGAATTTACGGAAACATTTTAAATTAACGAAGCAAGGGTTAACTAATTGGTAGGCGGAGCTATAATTATTATGGCTGTGCAGCAGTTCATTTCATAGTTCTTTTGTTTTCTTTTGCTTTACAACAAATGGCTGGTGTTCCTGTTGATATTGATAAGCCCCTTTGGGACCAGAGGACCTTTTATGGTCGTTTCCAGCACTTCCTCAGAATCACCAATCCTTTGCTATCTCTCAAATCAGAGCAAGAGCTAGAAAAAGCTGCAGATCTGGTGAAAGTTGCAAGGTACAAGAAAGTGGGCTGGGATTTTAGTGTATCCTCATTCCCAGATCTACAGGTTTGGTACCAAATGGAGTGAGTCTGGATGAACTGCAAACCGCTAAGGTCCTGTATGATTCCGCTTATCACCCTGATAGCGGAGAGAGAATGAATCTGATCGGTCGGATGTCATTTCAAGTCCCAGGAGGCATGGTTATATTAGGATCTATGCTTGTATATTATCGGTATGATATACACAACTATTCTCATCCATACATCTGATTATGTAATTTATAATTTATGCAATGAAATTGTATGAAATCTCTCTTTAACTCTCTCCCTCACTCTTTCCTCCAGTACTACGCTGCAGGTGTTTATGGTTCAATGGGTTAATCAGTCATTTAATGCACTGGTCAATTATACTAATAGAAATGTCAATAGTTCAATTACTAACAGGTAGAGTAACCTTAAAACTCTAAAATATTATTATCGTATATTACAGCACTTTATTTTGGCAATTTCCTGTAACATTATAATTTGCAGTTGTCAATTTAGTAATTTTTGTGTACATGCGCATTACTAAGATTTAAGATTTAATTTTGTTGCAAATCATTAGACGCCAAAAAATAATACTCTGCCAAAATAACACTCTATCCATCCACTTACTATATTATTAATATTGATAGACAAATAGGTGTGGCTTATGCAGGAGCAACCACTGGAGCTGTTGGTGTTTCAGTTTTACTAAATTCACTTGTGAAAGTACAAATACACATACATGTATGCCTATGTTTATAATTTATAGAGGGCCCCTCCTCTGGTTGCTAGGTGGGTTCCTTTTGTTGCCGTGGCTGCAGCAAATTGCATCAATATTCCGACAATGAGACAGAGGGAGTTAGTGGAGGGAGTCGGTCTTAGCAGAAACGATTTTACTGGAAAAAGAGAAGAGGATGAACTTGGAAGATCAAGAGTGAGTCAGAGAGAGAGAGAGAGAGGGTAGGAATATTGGAGGGATGATTGGATTGTTTGTGACAGGTAGCAGCTGTCAAAGGAATCAGCCAAGTAACCTTTTCACGGATTTTTATGACAATACCAACACTGCGTAAGTATTTATAATTAATTATAAATATAAATGTATGATACTAATATGTGATAGTAATGTTGCCAGTACTATCTACAAGGCTAGAAAGAAGATATCCTTTATTAATGGTAAGAGCATAACGTAAAGGTGTTTATCTACATGTATTCATCTTTATTAGAGGAACAATATAGCAGCTGCAGGGTTACAGACATTGTTCTGTGGAATATTGTGAGTATCACTATGAATGATCACATGACTATCACATGATTTAGGCTCTGCTTTGCCGTACCGGTCGGATGTGCTCTATTTCCACAGAGAAGGTAAGTGGTGATGTAAAAATCACTATTCCACCGTTCCTTTGCTTTTTCTTTGTCTCTCTCTGTTTTTGTAGTTCTATAAGTTATGATTGGCTTGAAAAAGAAGCACAGCTGCAGATCAAAAACAACACGGATTCTGTACCAAAGATATTGTACTTCAATAAAGGATTGTAATATAATGAGGATATTAATAATGAGCGAACAGAGTGTAACACAATGATGAATTATGAATACGAAATGCACTACAAATCAGTTACAAATCAACAATGAAACTGAAGAAAATTTGAAATTAAATTATCGACTAAATATAGAAAAAATAATAAATTTCTTTCTCGGATTATTATACCGTTCACATTAATCGTCTACCCACCAACACCCTAAATGTACGCATGTGAGAGAAAATATTTCGCAACAAACTGATATTTAGAAAATGCGTCGCACTCACCCAATTAGAAATACAGTTAAATGTGAAATAATAAAAGATGGTGATAGTAGAGTAGACAAAAATGACCTCAAACTAGAAAATTTTAATAAACAATACCAAATTTCAATTAATTCTTACTATGATTGCTCCATTGTTGCAGTACTAGTTACACCCTCTGGCTCGGCAGTAAAACTATAGTATATTTCAGTAAAACATAAGGATATTCCAGTAAAACTCAGTAAATTAATTATCGTTGGTTACGAATTACCTTATATCAGTTTTAGTTGTTTCTTCCTGCCTTATTATAGGTATTGGGTCCTTTCTCTCTTCAGTAACTGCTTCAGCAATCATTTGTGTGATTTCTTCTTCACTTTTAACGTGTGAGAGGGACTTTGGTTCTTTCGTTCCCGTCCCTTCCCCGGCCTCCACAGCTACCCAAGACTCTAAAGGACACAATAAATAAATAAATAAATAAGAGAGCCTTTGTGATAGATACGAACCTTGCATTGACTTCTGCATCTCTTGTTTGTTTGACGCCATTTTGGTATTATTGTTCTAATTCAACAAAATACGAAATTATTCTATTATTGTGAAGCTAGTTAGTTAGTGTTATTAATTTAAAATAGGAGGAGCTTAAATTAAGATGGCGTCGTGTACAAAACAACAATAAAACAGCCAAAAATCACTTATGGCGGCTTCTTCCTGGGACCAGATTGCTTCTGAGCACTGTTATCCTAAACTGATGGCTCATTGGAGCAGCATTACCCAGTCATTGCCCACTTTTCATCTCTTTAAGCCAAATGAAGGGGCGGGGCCGAGGGAGGAGCCACTGAAAACAATAAAAGAGGAGGATACTTCTCAGTCTGTTGTGTACGTAAACTGTAATTGATGTATCAGTGAATTTCGGATGGTTTTGAACCAATGTACATGCATAAATATAAATATATATATACATTCATTGTCATTCTTCAGATTTTGAGAAAGTTATGTATGTGTATCAAAAAAAATCATAAAAATGGGTGATTCTTTCCTTTTCATTTTTGACAAAATTTGGTCAACAACTGCACAGGGACTTTGGCCTGATTTTTTAGTAACCTTAAAAAATTTATAAAAATTCAATTTTAATATGAATTAGCTCAAAACTTCTATGCAACATAAGATCATGTATATGTATTATAAAATGTAATAAAAAATGGATTTCCAGTCCATCCCATAATAGGCATTGGCTATAGTTTATTAGTTCAATGGTTTCTGTCTGGTAAATGTACATTTCATTTGTTTTTACATGTACATGCTGTGGTCGTTGAGACGCCAAAACATGTTATGTCTAGTTTCCTGTCTTATTTTCGTGTAACTCCACCTGTTGTTACACCACAGCTGCTGGGAGTCATTTAACCTTTAAACTTATTTATTATTATTATTATTATTATTATTATTATTTTATTGTTATATTATTGTTATATTGGAGAATTTGCATGTTGTAATACTCGTGTCTTCCTGGGTAGACTTTAATCCTGACTTTATTTGATGGTTTTTAATACGTTTTTAATTACTTTTGCCATCGCAGCTGCTTCATTATATTCTGTTGCATCACTAGTTCTTTCAAGTTTACAAGGAATGAGGGAGTATTTTTTTAATATTTACAACGATTAAATAACATTTAATAACAGATTGCATGTATGTATGTAGTTTTTAATAATGATTTAAGGAATGATTTTTAAAAAAGTATTTTAAAAAATTTATTTAGTAAAGAGGAGAAAGAGCCTGATATCAACTCTGATGGTGATGATGATGATATGGAGATTGATGTTGTGGGTGTGGCTGACACACCCTCTCGTCCTTACAATTATCACAAAGTGAAGAACATTATGAATGAATGTTATCAACACATGAATCTGATAAGGTTACCTCTAGAAAATAATGACTTGGAGCTTGAAAAGTTAGAAAGAACGAGGGAGAGAGAGAGAGACAAAAATATTCTTTTTTCTTTTAGAGTATTCAGTGATGCTAATTATCAGCAACAGAACCTGCTCAGTAAATGTTTGCAAGTTTTTCGTGACGATCAACTCGCCAGATTATCATTCTCTGGAGTAAGTGACATCACGTGATTACGCCCTTTGATGTCATATTACATCACGTGACATCACTTTGCATCACATTTGCTTTTTAGTCACAAGAAGAGGCTATTCAAAGACGTTTGAGTAACGACACCGCGTCTAAAAAGATTCGTAAGATATTTGCCGACATTAAATGGGTAAGTGCATGTATACATGTACTGGAGTATTTTATATCAATAATATTATTAATGTATATGTACATGTACATATACATGTTAGGACCCACAGTTAACCCAGTGGTTACACAGGACACTAATAAGAGTTCTTGATGATGACATGCTTCCTATTTATCTTGATGTGCTTCAAGTATTGAAAACTAACGTAAGGTTGTATCATGCATCATTATTATACTCTCTTCTTTGTAAGCTGTTTTTATATTTGTATTGAAAGGTACTATAGTTTGTAAAAATAAAAGCTAAAACTAGCAATGCATGCACATGTACATTTTACATCATGCACCTCTCTCTCTCTCTCTCTCTCTCTCTCTCTCTCTCTCTCTCTCTCTCTCTCTCTCTCTCTCTCTCTCCCTCTTAATTTCTAGTGCCCAGGTTTAGTAGAGCAGATGATTCACATTGGCTTAGGTGGTGATGGTGTCAATGAAGCTTTAAAATTATTGTTAAAGAGACCATGGAATCCTTCAATTGGGATGACTAACATAGACAAACAAGTACAGTAATAACCTATTGCTCGTACATATACACATGTACCTACTTGCTTAATTAAATTATGACTATTGTATGCTATATAAGTTAATTCCTCTTTATGTCTCTCTCTTTATTTTTGTCTGTTTCTCCCCCCCCCTCTCTCTCTCTTCAGCTTCATTTTGATCCTTCTCCATTATTTGTCACTGTCCCTCACTCAACTGCTCCTCTAGGCAGTAGGAGGTTAAGGCTATTCCAGAGTCAGTTCAACGCTTTTGGTAAGGTATTCCCTGTCATTGTACAAGACAATAAAGCCGACACTGGACAACGGACATCATTCCGTGAATCTGTGGAGAATATAGTGCAGTGCACCTTACAGAGGGTTCAAGAGGTACTGTACATCTACATGAATTATTTTATTTTTATTTATTTTATTTTTTAAGCTAAAGGAACAGTTTTCATCACGCCCGATAATATTAGTCAGTTGGTCTACCAGCTGTAGGATTGCTTGTAAGGTACTTAATACTGGGAACGAGGGTCTGGTGGCATGGGAACGAGGGCCTGGGGGCATGGGAATGAAGTTCTGGAAGTATGGAAATGATTTCTTATTGTTTCTAGGTAGCTGAAGTGGAGCGTGTGGCATGTCTGGTTAATCTCGGGTTGGTTATAGATGGACTCGATTACTCCTGGACCGTAAGGAAATACATGATTACATATACATGTACATCTAATTGTATACATGCACATGTTTTTGTACATGCAACAATGCGTTTTGTTAATTTTGCTAGTCAGCTAAAGGTCTGGCTAGCAAGACTATAGTGTTGTGCATGTATTAAGATAAAGGATTGTCTGGTTGCATTGTAAAATCGAATTACACGTGCGTGTGTATGTTCTCTTAAATTACATGTACATGTAGTACAATGTACATGTTTTCAAACAAATGCTTCGTACACGAATACAAATAGTTCCCGATCAATTTCAATTAACAGAATTGCAACTGAAATACAATATTTAATTGGAACACTACTATGTACATGTACATGTATATTTTTTGACGTAACAGCTAGGCCCTGTACATGTACACTACATGTGCATGTGTAAACTCTACTAATGTGACCTTGTCACTGATAGTTCCTTTTTGTGATAATTTTAAAAGATATCTCTTTTATCAGACAACAATTAAGAGTTAGGTCATCCTGTTAAAATTATAATTTATTTATTTATTAGTGCATCTGTATTATTAGTATTACAAGGAATCGTAGTAACGGTGATAATGATATTTTTATTTTGCGTGTCTCTGCGGTTTAACACTCGCTCCTCCTGTGGTTGTCTCTGGTTTAGAATTGATAATAATTAATAATATTAATAAAACGATAAACACAAGTTTTGGTCTCATGTTATGTCTATGACCTTATGAGAGAGGTTGCTTATAAACCAGTTACCAAGTGCCCATCTAACCAATGAGCTCTTGATGTGACCTTATTAGCTCGAATTAAGCTAGCACAACAGGTGTAGCTCTTACGCAATTATAAAAATTATTTCAGATATTGTGGAAATATTATAAGCACGCTTGCATGGATATATGTACATGTACATGTACATGTACATGTACATGTACATATACATGAGTGTGTGAGACGGAGCATGTAATTGGCCTAATTATAATGAGTAATTGGTATAAGCTACTAGTGTCCATATACAATAATTGCATGTGGTTACTATCTTTCAACCTAATTCTCACGCTGTTCTTAGCCTCTTGCTCTTTATTGGATTTATAATGCTTCGTTAAGTTCTTTATTATCTGAGGTTTTTTTGTAATTTAATCTGGCGAGACGCTGTGTCTGTGTCTATATGGTTTTACGATAAGAAAAAGCCATAATAAAACCCGATAGGGTGAGATTCTTCCGGATATCATTTTACCAAGTCTACTATGGCCTGCTATTATAGGGTATGTTTGTCACTTTTGATGTGTGAGATTATCTATCCAAGATATACTGTTCATGTACATATAACTTTAAAATAGATTTATTGGCACGCACTCAGTGTCATGTTGTTTACATATACATGTACATGTACACGTATATGTACATGTACATGTATATATACATGTACATGTACATTTACATGTACATGTACATGTACATGTATATTGACATGTACATTAGCTTTCTATAGTTTATGGACTATTATGTACACAGTTTACATTAGCTTACATTAGCTATAATCTAATTTTAAAAGTGAAATTTGCGAAAGTCTATGTAATCCTAATCAAGTTTAATTGTTTGTGTACATGTACATGCATATGTATTATGATGCTGTACAAGGGAAAGAGAGGCGTGGTGAGATTTGTGGATTAATGAAATGGTTGTAGTGCTTTCCTTGACAACACAGACCAGGTGTATCGTTGGAAGCGCTAGTTGTGTAGGCTCATTCTGTTCATTATATGCAGCTGTTGCGCATTACATCAGTATTCATAATTCTATGGTTTATATCACTGGTAGTAAAAACAACTTTTTAATTAGCTATAACGAATCTAATAATGGCCTTAACCAGGAATGGTAAACCCTCGCCCGCTACTAAATATCTGTGGAGCAGCTGTTGTTCGGTGCGGCCCTCTAACCACAGTGGCATGTTACGGGCACTATCTACCCAATCAGCTAGCCCACTACAATGTGGCACTACTGGTAACTGGAGATAATTGGTTAATAAGTACATGTTACATATTGTGGAGCTTGTGTTTGGCTCTAATTACATAATGCAAGTTACATGTGTCTCTTATTATTTGATGTGTTTTGTGTGGCATATGTAGACACATGTTATAAATGGCTTTATCTTTATAAATGGATTTACCTCTCCATGTGTACATGTACATGTATAACGTAAAGGTATAGGGATGGATTACTTGCATGTGTGAGTATGTGGTTAACTTCATATTGAATTGTAGTGTCATAATTAAATTATTGTTATTATTATTATTTTTTTTTTATAATTATCATTATTATCATTATTACTGGTTATTATGGTCTATTACATGTACATGTATGTCAGTCTGATATAGATCCATTATTATTATTATTATTATTTGTTGTGTACAGTACATGTGCATGTATTTTTAAATGGTAGCTTTATTTTATGTGTTTCTTCACATCTCTCTCCCCCTCCCTCTCTCTCTCCCCCTTCTCTCTCCCCCCCTCTCTCTCTCTCAGTTATCTTCTGATCCATTCCTAAACTGCACTACTCCTTCAATCTTCATTATTGGTGAAAACTCACCTGACAGAACTAAAGAGACATACGTCGAAGTAATTACTATTTTATTTAATTATTTTTACGACTTTTAGCGATAATTGTTACTATTCACACTTTAGGCCAATTAATCATTTGTAAACCTCGAAAAGTCATAGTAGTGAACAGATTATGCAACATAAGTACATGTACACATGTAATAAAATCTACAGTATGGTCTAGATTATTAACCTTTATACTCTGATCTGTTGCATAATATTCTGTATGTATATATATATATATATTATACCTACTTCTCTCCTCATTTGTCTCTTTCTTTGTCTCTCTCTCTCTCTCTCCCTCCCTCTCTTTCCTCCTACATATTTCTCTCACTCTTTTATTGTATTCTCTTACTCTGTTGTACTATGGATTGACAGCTGTTGTTGAAATCCTAGAACACTTACTCACTACAATGGTTATTCATTTTTAATTATCATCCCATTGTCTTAGAAAATTATAGCAATAGGCTTAAGTGTGGATGCTAACACAAGTAGCAGTGTAGGATCTTGAAATAAAAGGCCAGTCTAGCTAAAATTGGGAGATTTAAGATACCTTGAAATATCCTAAACCCCCTCTATATCTAACAGGGGCAATAATAATGGCTCTCTTTCTTTTACTCTGCCTCTCTTCCCCTCTCTTTCTCCTCCTCACTGTTCCTCTTTCCTTCTCTCTCTCTCTCTCTCTGTCTAGTCTCTGTATGTCTGGTATTTAGTATACCAGTTCCATCACTTGTTAATTACATGCATTAGGTCTTTGGTGTTGACCAGTAACATGCCTCTGGCACATGTTATCATATTTATTTTGTCTGCAAAACATTCGCAGTACACAATTATTAATGACAGCAGTCATGTGTGGAAGCTAATCTGTCTGGATAGGAGAGTATTAGCCAACCTCGTGGAATGCAATTAGTGAAATCTAATTATATAGTTCTATATTGCCAGCACCCTACACTATGTATATGTATGTATGCACCTAATAAAAACTCTTAGTTTTTAATTCAATCAATTCTATAATTGCCCTTGGAACATAAAGAGCACAAATACAACTACAAACGAGATTTATTACTGTACTGCATTGTTTTCTGTGATGGTAATTTGTTAATAATTATGTAGTTTTTATTTGTCCTGGAGCCATTTTTCTGCACACTTTGCCAATTGTATTATTTTACGGGTCTTTGCTTCGGGCCTTTTTATTCAAAGGCATGATATAAAACTAGTAATAATGAAAGCATTTTTGCTCCAGGTGTTGCCTATAACCCTACGGCATAGTTTGAAAGAGCGGGATATATTGCCGCTGCCAAGTATGGAAACTGTTGTCCATTCTTTTAATTCAAATATTTATTGCAATAATGATGACAGATGTATATCCAATAACTTGCTTACTTATTGGTCTTCTGTCTCTGTCTCTCCCTCCCTCTGTCTCTGTCTCTTTCTCTCCCTCTCATTCTTTCATGTTCCAAGGAGCTTCGATCAAGAATGAAGACTCGCACATCATTAGTGGTAATGCATGGAGGAGATGATCAGGTGAGAAAAGGGAGAGGGAGAGAGGGAGTAAGAGACAGGGAGGGAGCATGTGGGATACACCATTGTCTAGTGATTGAACTTTAGACTAATTGTACTGTGTTTTGCATATCCATCTACTTGTATGTATGTATGTACATTTATGTCTCTGTGTATGTGTGTGTGTGGGTGTATTATAATTAGGGTGTGTTTGATATTTACATTCTATGAACGGATTACATTAATGAAAAGGTGTGCCTGTCTATGTATGTGAAGACTGTTTGGGTGTGTTAGTATTTGTGTATCCTAGCCTAGGATATGATCTCTGTTAGTTGGGGCCGTGCATACGTGGGCCGAGCAAAATTTTCTCGTTTTTTGGCTGCAGATTTAATTATTTTTTATTAGTTGTGTAGTAACTAATGTGAGGTTTTATCATGTTGTTTGCACTCTCTCCCTCCTCCTCTCTCCTTCTCTCTCTCCCCCAACATTTCTATCCCTTTGTCTTTTATCATTTTCCCCTCCCTGTCTCTCCCTCCCTCCCTCCCTCTCTCTTTTTCTCCCCCCCTCTCTCTCTCCCTCTCAGTTGAGATTAACATCAAACGACAAACTCTCTTACCTGATAACCCAAGGAATGATTGACAGGATCCTCATTGATAAAATTTACGAGTTCTTCATTTATTGCCTGCCCTCGTCCCTCTCCCTTGACATTAAGATCCCTCGTAAACGTAAATCAGGTTCGTCCGAAGAACCCTCAAACTCATTCCTTAGCAGTTCCGTCCCCAACAGCCCGATAGTTCTCACAGCGACAGCTCCTGCTGGTCCTGATGATGCAACTCGCTTATCGAGTTTGTCGTCCAATCCGTTAGTAATGCGTTCTTTGCTAGGAGGCGGAGTCAAGACGGCTGGTATGGGCATGGCTCGATCTAGTGGTGCCACGCCCCTGTTACCCTCGACGAAAGCGCCAAGGATAGGTAGACCCCCAAAATTAGGACGACCTCGCTCAAAATCAAGTTCTGAGACCAAGTCCCTGGGGACCACTAAAGTTAAAGGATCTTCAAATATTTCGTCGCGCTCTCGTTCAAAAAGTGGTGAAGTAGAACCGCCTCCTTCTCCCCAGTCTCCACCCATTGCTAGTCCGGCTAACGGTAATAATTCAAATAATGCTTCTCCTGATACACTCTTGTCTCTGACAAAGAAACACCTCTGCCCCATTCTCCCTATAACTCCTCCTAAACCTTCTCTGCTTATACCTCCTGACACTGATAAGTGATATCATTCTTTTATACATGTACTTGTTCTTATGTTGTATGTTGTTGTAATATAATGTAGTGTCTTTATTAGTCATCATGAAGTTTTAATTTTTTGTTTAATGTTCATAGCTACTTTTAATTAGATTATATCTGGTATATTGGTATGCGTGATTTGCATCAGTAATTTGATACACAAGTTAATTGTCATTTTTAAAAATTCTTTTGGCCATTGTTTCTCACATTAGCACCAGATGAAGAAAGTTCGCAAGTCCTTTTTGCTTCCAAAGGAATTTTGTTTATCCAAGAAGATTAAAATTAAATATTTTGTAATTAAAAAAAAAGATAATTTAGTTATTATTATTGTACACAAGAGAGTTATAGTATGTTACATATGTACTTGCCAAACTATAATAATAATAATAATAATGAAAAATAATAATAATAATAATAATAATGCTACATGTATTGAGTGAGAGAGATAGAAGGTTCTAGTATACAGATTGAGTCAGTAGATAAGCGATACATAAAATTAATGCTAAATATAAAACAATAATAATAACAATAATAATAATAATAGCAATGTTGTTGTTGTTGTTGTTGATGATGACTAGTTTTCATCCAAAAAAGGATAAGTATCTTTGTCTAGAACTCCCAGCAATCCAAATCACTGCAGGAAAAAAATGAAATAAAAATGACGATTGATTTTTGGCTTACATTGGTGAGTTGCAGTCGGCGATGTTTTTCCTTGTCCCACTCTTTTCCGAGAGATTCTCCCTTGAGCACCAGCACTCCAGCAGACCGTTGGGTTTTCTATGACACTGAACTGGCTTGGCAGTTCCCTTCTTAGTGCACTGTGGATGCCACTCGTTTTTGATGTTTTTAACAATATCGTATATCCTTTTGCACTGTGGGGTGACAATCGGTACCGGTGTAGGAGTGGGAGTAGGAGTGGGAGTAGGACTTGGAGTAGATGATGATGCTAGCAGACAAAAAATAAAATAAAGCATTTTTATAAATAAATAAATAAATCATTGATATTCTTATTATAAATAAAATCATCAATGAAATAGTTTTAGTGCACTTACTTGGGCAAGCTCCCCTAGTTATTGTGATGTCAACCTGGTGTATGCACTTGTATCTTCTCCAAAGACAGCGACTTTGAAAGGTCATTCCATTGCTCCCACAGAACTCATTGGGCCGAGCACTCTCACAGCCCCAACGTTTCATACACTACATGAATAGAGAAAGGAGGAACATCTGATGATAAAAAACTCATTTCAAGCTTAATTATTACTTGATCAATTCTGTCTTGACTTGGTGTGGGAGTGACTGATGGAGTCACTGATGTAATATTACTGGGAACAGTGCTAGTCGGGCTAACTGAAGGGATCTCTGGACAGTTGATTGTATCGTTGGTCAATTGGACGCATATTTCAGTGGTCTGGCAGTGTGGGTCACCGTGATGCTGAACTGTTGCCCTAATGATTAATGAGTGGAGAGAGGATATGATGATGATGTCAGTAGTGTGTATGTGTATACATACATAGGGTATAATTATTGGCTACTAGCAGGTGTCTCCATGCATGCAATCATGCAAATGCAGAATTCATAATTAAAACAAAGCATCATACCTGAAGCAAACAGGCTTCTTGGTCTCTTCGTTGCAATGCGAATACCTTTCGGGTGTCCAGTAGAAGCTTGCAGGCAAGTCCAGTAATGATGGTTTGATGCTTTGAAATACAACACTCTGCATGAAAGAGAAGAGGGAAGCATAATAAGTACATCAATTGGATGTGTGGATCGCATTATTAATAAAGATCAGACATGTGTTGGTCTGCAAAATTAATAAAGTAAATGTTCTTATCATAACTCACCTTGCTGCAGTGGCTGGCTTCTTCCATGTTTTCTGCTATTGTAAAGGATCCCAGTGCTTCTCTCTCTGAGTCTTCATCCTCATCATCATAAAGAGCCTCGATTCTGTACCAGGAAGGGCCAACCGTCAGGCTCTGATCGTAATCTTTTAAGCAAGCTGTTGATTGGATACTAACTGGAGTGCAATGTGTGGGGATGGAGGAGTGAGAGGGGGCAGGAATGGTGTAGAAAAATGTGAGAGAAAGAAATAATAAATAAATATATTCAAGTAGTACACTATAATGCAGAATGATTGAGAGAGAAAGAGCATGCAAGAGTCAATAAGAAAAGGAATAGTGAATGCATAAATAAGAGGAAACTGCATGCAGAAAATGAAAAAGAGAATGAGAGCCCCCCACACACACCTCTGATGGGATAACCCGGTGTATAAAAGCTACTTGAAGTTAAGAGTGAGTATTGTACTCCTGTATTGGTTGAGCTATTTATTATATTGCTACAGTTCAGTGAACAAGGGCCACTGCTGGTTAAATCTCCACCATCACTTGCTGGTAGTGACAGTGCTAATGTGAAACTCATCATCAAATATGTGCAAAAGATTTCTAGAAAGAGCATCATTTTCAGAGGCCACTGGGAAGGGACTATTAAAAGACTGAGACTGGGTCTAAGGGAGAGAAAGAATAAAGTATATTGTTAGCATTAATCAACACACTTTACTCACTATAGTTTAGAGTAGCTTGTAGGCTGACTGCACACCAACTCAGTAGTGTTCACCCAGTTTTTATTTCGTCGGTCTCTTAATTATTATTCATGATTATGGCCACCACGCCTAGTCTTTAATTAATAACAATAGTTTAATTAATTAATAGTTTCTTAACTAGTCACGTGAATACCTGCCCTGAGCTGAGCTCGAGATTGGACTGGAGGTGTTTTGGGGTGGTAGAGAAGAACGACACAATACAACATGTCTCTTACTGTGGTAGTGAAGTCTGCTTCTTCTCTTCCAAACTTGGAGAGATTCAGCAAGAGTGATCCAATGGCTGTCCTCATTTTCCAAGGTACTAGAAATCCAGCCATTTTTATGTCACTTAAAAAATCATTTGCAGGAGTCAAGCAAAAGACAAAGTCCATCGATAACAACTTAGACCCTGTTTGGGATGAGGTGCGACCTTGCACGAATCAATTAGTTTTATTTAACATTTTGCCCCACCTCTCCCTTTCTCCTCCCTCTCTCTCTCTCTCCAGACTTTAGAATGGCCGTTATCGGTTGCTCCATCACCTTCGGAAGTGATCCAAATTGACATTTATGATTACGAAAAGCTTGGAAAGAACAAGTAATATATACTTGGCAGGTGGAAATAATGCAATTGGAAATTCATGTGGATAATAATGAATGCATGGACATTTAATATGGTTTTAATTTCATGCACAAAATTGATTCCAGCAATACAATACATGTACATGTACAGCACCTAAAACTAACTTATACACTACATGGCCTCTTTCTCTTTCTCTTTGGTACACGCATGTACACTTTACAAATTGACAGTCAAAATTATTGTAAATTATTATGCTTACTGTTGTTACTGGTATTGCATTGATATTACACGTAGTTGGCTAGCTGTCATTGTTTGGAATGAGTGTTATTTTCAATATGATTGGATTTTTATTGTTGTTTATTGCATGGATGAGTACATTACCACGTACGTATAGTACATTTCTTGGCTGTTGCAAATGTTCGTGTATTGTGGATCATAGTAGACAAAGCATGCATATACATGTACAAAGTTACTCCAAAGCCATCTATTGTATTTTAAAGCTTGTCAGCTCATGAAACATGCTCTTTAGCTCGCTTAGCATGCTTTCTTGGAAACCCTGGTTATGATGATCATTATTTGTTTTTCATTTGCTAGTAATTTGTACTTTCACTTTTAGATATGAATAGAATACTTTTGTTAACTTACATACATGTACATGTACATTTGCTACCTTGCTCACCTCCTCTCTCTCTCTCTCTCTCCCTCCCCTCTCTCCTCTCTCTCCCCCTTTCTCTCCCTCCCTCTTTCTTCCTCTCCCCCCTCTCTCCTTCCCTCTCTCTCTCCCTCCCTCTCTCCCTCTCTCTCTCTCTCTCTCTCTCTCACTACAGGCTAATGGCTAGAACTGAGTTCAGTATGCGTGAAGTTATCAGTAAAGGATCAGCTAGTCCAACCTTGACATTAAAGGGAAAGAAAGGAGATGTCCTCAAGGTATGTTATACTGTATAGCAATTATAAATAATAAGTATTTTTGCATTTAAACTGTATGTACATGTACATGTATACATATGACGTGTAGTTTCAGGGGTATGTTTTGTACATTTTTTAATTATAAAGAATGTACATACATGTACATGTACATGTACATTATATCCGTGAAATGGAACTATTGTAATTAAGTGAGAGGATTCTGTGGTAGTATTTGGTATGGTTACATGCCCACGGTATAATGACATGTATTTCATGCTTGGTGCTTCACTTATTGTAATTGCTTTATTACGAGAAATATTTTAACTTAATCATCCAAACAACGTTATGTGATGTATAGTATATCTCTGTGGGTACATAATTGACAATGTACATGTAGATACATGTACATGTACGTGTACATGTACATGTGCTTTGTATGTTAGCATCAGTGTCATGTATCATAGAAAAGTTAGCCAATTTTTCATCAAAATTGGCTCACAATTTTTATTGCATTTATATGTTTCATACGCCGTATGCAGCCAAGCTGTCTACAACAAAAAAGTTAATTATTATTATTAATTATTATTATTAATGATTAACATTGCTATTATCTAATGTATATTGTCTGGACTTTAAATTAAAATTGCAAAGTTTAAGCGCACACATTTAAATTTACCCTGCGTAAATCCTTTTTGATATTATTTTGACTAAATATGACCATGTTTAAACTTTAACCTTTGTCTAGCGACAGTCTCGGTTCATCACTACAATTGTGTGTGTGTGTGTGTGTACATACAAATATTTAGCGTTACCTAATGTCAATGTTTATTATTTTGTATTTTCATTAATTATTTCATTATCTGTGTCTAGACCATATGGACAAAACTGCCTCTTATATTTGATTATTTTAGTTGTTGTGACATGATCTTATTTGTCTGTCAGTTCAAACTTGTGTTTATTGGATCCCTAAATATTGATACTTCATTGATTGACTGCTATTTTGCAAACATGTGCTCATAGCTATGCAGTCCAGATGACTGTTTACATTAAATAAGACGCTTGCTAACATGTACACTACTTTGTGTCATTCAAAGTGACTACATACTATGTACAATTGTTGCTATAGAGCCTTTTCCCTTTGTTTGTGTGTTTTGTTGTGTATAGTTTCTATGACCATATGTCCTGTTTTGACTCTATGCGTGTAACAGGTACATGTAAACCTTATTAATGATATTCTTTTATTTTGTGTTGTTGAGAGAGGGGGAGAGAGAGAGAGAGAGAGAGAGAGCCAGAGAGAGAGAGAGAGAGAGAGAGAGAGAGAGAGAGAGAGAGAGAGAGTGGGTGTATGAGAGAAGTCCAAGCGGTCAATATGAGAGGGAGCTGGAGAGGAAAAGATAATTTACCAGCAGGTGTACATAAACGTGTTAATGTCTTTTGAATTATCCCTCCTCCTCCTCTCTCTCTCTTTGAATTTTATAATCATTAAATGATGAAAGGTACAAATTAGCACAACCCACTCTTGTACACGTATGCTGTCAGCTCCCAGTTCGTGATACATCCTTTTTTATTATTTTAATGCCGACTCTCTCATGTGGTATTTCTCCGCTATTATTACACGACCCATTACAGTATTATCTAATTGAGTTACGCTCCAATATATAATAATGGTATTAGTTTTAGCACACATGAGAGAGATCGAGGAAAACTTTTAGGATTTCCGGCACCATAATGGCACCATATAATGCATATGGTGTCACATATTCTCCACCTGTTCTTTCTCTTCATTGTGGTCCGTCACGTTTATGATGTGCCTGTAACAATATTAAGGACTTGATTAATTTATTTAGGTGTGTCAATCTTACGAGGCTTCTTTTAATTTCTAAAAGGTCTTTGGTCTGGTAACCAAATAGCACCAGCATGCACAGTGCTGTATGATGTGTATATGTATCGTACATGTACATGTACATGTAGAGAAGTTTGGAGTTTAGGTTTATGGTGCTAAGGTTGAAGGTATACATGCATGTACATGTACATGTATGTGTAAAGGTGCTGTTGTCAAGGCCATAATGTCTTGTGAATGATATGTATGTGTACATGTATGTGTTTTCAAGTGAGACACGTACACATGTACATGTACATGTATTTGTTTATACATGTACATGTACGGTTTGCTGTGATGTTTGTTAGTGGTTTGTTCCAGGGTCTTTGAAATTGTATTGTATGCCTTGAAGGTCCTCAACCTCAGACACAAGGTCCCATCTTGTGGCTCTTTTGTCAGTTGTTTGTTATTAGTATTTGTCGCCCTGTGGTGGTTTTGTTATGTATTATTATGACTTTAAAAGTCAGACTTCATGCGTAGCAAATACATGTACGTGTACCTGCAGGCTATTTCATAATCACTAATGTTAGATCAAGGAGTTTCTGAGACTTTTGGTATTCCATATTTGGTCTGTAATCTCCCATTTTTAGCTTTTGCTCTCTCATATTTAGCCTATTGTACACATGTAGCTAGATTAGCTTTCCAAAATCTATTTACCGCTTAACCTTGTTCATTTCTTTATAGTCAACGATTAGTTTGACGATATCATATACTGCCCCAGACACAGGAGGAGGGGGTGGGGGAGGAGGAGGAGGAGGAGGAGCAACTGCTGGAGGAGGAGGAGGAGGAGGTGATGGAGAAGATGAAGACGAAGATTTTGATGCTGGTGGTGGTGGCGATGGCGACGGTGGAGATATTGGTGGAGAAGGAGGTAAGTGGGATGTACATGTACATGTATAAAAACATGTACATGTTGTAGGGGAAGGAGAGGAAGCAGGAGGGGGTGAGCCTGGTGTGACCGCCATTGATCCTGATTCTGTTGGAGCTGGAACTGTGGAAGCGTAAGCTGGCCTGACTCCTACTAATTAATGATATTCTGTGGGTGTGGCTCTTTTTTTTTAGGAGGAAGAAAGCAAAGAGGAGAGCTGCTCGAGCAAAACTGTCAAATAAGCCAATGGACTTTCAGGTATACTGAAGTACACTGGAATATACTGGAGTATACTGAAATATACTGTATTTTAGGTTCGTGTGCATGTAATTGAGGCTCGAAAGCTACAAGGTGGAGGGTTGAACCCTGTAGTTAAGGTAGCTTGTGGACAACAGATTAAGGGAACCAGCTCAAGAAAAGGAACTAATAATCCTTTCTTTGATGAAGTAATTATAACCTTTTAAAGGACTGGAGCAATCTCTCTCTCTCTCTCTCTCTCTCTCTCTCTCGTAGATGCTTTATTTTAATTTTAACGAGAGGCCAGCTGAACTGTTTGACAAGATATGTGAGATAAAGGTCCTCAATGCTAAAGTGTTGCTCCTGGAGTCTTTAATTGGATCGTTCAAATTTGACATTGGAATGGTTTACGATGAACCAGGTGAGTTTTTAAAAAAGGAATTAAATACTTGTACATGTTGTTAACCGACATGTATATGCATGTACATGTATGATGTATAGTCTCTCCTTACCCCAGAGCACTGTTTTATTCACAAGTGGCTCTTACTAACTGATCCTGATGACCCTTCCGCTGGCCCTAAAGGCTACCTAAAGTTCTCTATCAATATCATTGGCCCTGGTGACGACCCCAAGCCCTCTCCCTCCACCATCAGCCAGGACTCCGTCGATATCGAGGCGTAAGATTGCACTTCTAATTAATGCCCATGTCATTTGTTACCATAGTAACTTGCTCCGCCCATCCGGCGTGAGGCTCCAATCCGGTGTCCTGTATTGTCGCATCTATCGAGCGGAGGACATGCCTCAGATGGATCCTGGGTATTTCGAGGGTGTCAAAAAGTTCCTCAAGGTTGGTACCGTTCAAAAGGAGCTCGTTGATCCGTATTGCACTGTCAACTTTGCTGGTCACAAAGGAAGGACTAAGGCTATCATGAATGAGCAGGATCCTGAATGGAACACACAAGTTAATCTCGCCATTAGGGTAAGGATTGAGTAATAGGTACACTGTACATGTACTGTAGCTGCGATCTATTTATGAGGATCTATTTATTGGTCATTGTGCATATGGAGATTAAGGAGAACTTAATTTATTTTTGTAATTTGAAATTTAAATTTGAAAATTCATGCATGATTCCTTTGCAATGACTATTGAAACTGTAATAAAAATCAATCCCACTAAAAAGAGTTGGTTTTTAAATTTGAAAAGCTATTCTCCCTTTTTGTGATATATATTTCATGTACATGTACAATTGTACATGTACATGTATTTTTTTAATTTGTGTTTTTCTAGTTTCCGTCAATGTGCGAGAGAATCAAATTTCAATTGAAGGACTAGTGAGTTATATGATACACTAAAATTGATTTGTTGCAATATCTTATTATATCTCATAATTATTATTTTATCATCGCTGTGATAGTAATGTTATTAATAATTTTTTTGAAGTTCTATTTGTTTATTATTACGTGGTGCCCCTCCTGGCCCGTACTTTAAAGACTGTTTTGATTAGTGGCCTATAATCCGTGAAAATATTTTAAATTCTTTTATTGGATTTACAATTTACATACCATAATTTCACCACCCACTCTACCTAACTCTCTCTCTCTCTCTCTCTCTCTCTCTCTCTCTCTCTCTCTCTCTCTCTCTTTTAGTGACAAGTTGAATAAAGATGATTTCATTGGCACGTGCTTTCTTAACCTCACAGAAATATCAGCTCCTGGTGACAATGGTAGGCAACAGGCCGCATGTAACACACATTATAATTGTAATCCTCTCTTTTTCTCATCCTAATTTCTTCTTTTTAAGGTTTTCTTCCTACATTTGGTCCGTGTTTTCTTAACGTTTATGGGTCTCCAAGAGAATTCACTGACTTGCCGGACAAGTTTGACTACCTCAACAAGGGAAAGGTTAGTAAGTGCAGTATAGCTGGAAACTTTCTCTGATCTGCTCAAAATCATAAATTTAATTTTCACAAATCAAAGTTTTCTGCTATCTTTTGCCATTATATTGTGTGGAGTCAATCAAACTGGCTCTGAGTATAAAAGATTAAAAACTTTCATTGTAACTAATTTCTGATGCATGTACATGTACATGTAGATTATTGAATCACGTATGCATGCTTTATGTAACTGATTTCCAACTACAAATTATTTATGAACATTAAAAAGTTGCACTATCTTCATGTACCTCATTAATTATTCATTAGATTGATGGCGTGGCTTACAGAGGCCGTGTCATGGTTGAACTCAACATGGAGATCGGCAAGCAGCCAGCTCAGCGCTACGAAGACATCAAAATTGTCGACATCAACAAATTGACGGTAAATCCTTTAATGGGGGGTGCTTTTAGTCACGGATTTAATTTATTTTAGCCGTTTTTGAGAAGAAGAAAGTACAAACTATTTGCAGCATTTTTCTCAGCCACAATGATAAAACCAGCAGATTCACCTGTTGAATTTGAAGTGTCTATAGGTAATGGAAAAAGAGAGAGATACATGTAGCATGTACATGTACATGTACACATGTATATCTATATGCATGTATAATTTTAAAGTACATGTACAGATAAATTGAATCACAAACAACTGAATGTATTTTTACAAGTACACAGCTATAGTGTCCATCTTTTTTAGCTATTCTGTCTGTTTGTGATAGTGATAGATTAGCATGTGATTATTGTGTCTTGTAAGTGTTTCCTCTTCTACCATTCTCTTTAATGTATAACCATGCAATCATGTGATGACATTAGGTTCATGTAGGTACAGGGCCTTGAGGTTAATTAAGTACATGTACATGTAAATCGCTTGTTACCGTACAAGTGTTGCTACACAGCTGCTACTTGCTGTTTATTATTGTGGTAGAAATTCGTCTCGGTATCTACATGTGCATGTATCACACCTTAGGTGTAAACAGCTTGAAGTGTGATACAGTACAGCCTATGTTGAATGACACTCTCTATAGCGTACACCTCCATTTAACGGACAGCACCTAGTGTACCAATTATATTCCTTACTGTATAAAATAACCTCCTTATAAAGGACACCTCTGTATAACAGACATTTTTGTCCACAAGTCTTTCTTATATTCAAGGCCTTTCTACACTAGCACTTCTAATGCGCATTGAACTGATTTGGAACCGGTTCCAGTCATTCCACACCTGATGCGCATTGACTTCAATGCGCATTAAGCCAAACCACCTCCATATGTGGTTTGAATGCTCATTCAATAGATAACCAATGGCAGCTGGACGGAAATGCTATCAAAATATACATGATCCTGATGATAGTGTGGAATCACTTGATGCGCATTCAAAGTGCATTGATGAGCCGACTTCTGGAACTGGTTCAAGTGTAGAAAGGCCTTAAGGCTACACTGTACATGTACATGTACATCTAGGCAGATTATGTGTACTTAATCCTTTCTCTCTAATCGTAGGTAATTATGGTAACAAGCTGGACGAGAATGTCCCCGCTCAAGCCTCAACGACTCCTCCCTCTAATCCTGTTTATGACGGGAATGCGTATTATTATTTGCCATGGACCCAGCAGAAGCCCTGTGTGGTCATTGACAGCCAGTGGGAGGACGTTTCGTTCAGGATTGCAACACAAAATATTTTGTTACATATTGCCGATAAACTGGTGTGTGTGTGTGTGGGAGAGAGAGAAGGAGAGAGAAGGCATTTTTGTTGTATAATTAATGCACTTAATGATACAGTATCCAAAGTTACTCAAAAATTGGGTCAAAGTCCCTGTACTATAGTGCAGGGTCGTTGGCCAAATTTTGCCAAAAATGACTAGGAAAAAAATTTTCAATTTTTATTACATTTTCTGATGCATATACATGTTCTTATGATGTATAGCAAGTTTGAGCTGATTTCGATTAAAATTAGATTTTTTACGAATTTTTTAGCTTACTCAAAAATTGGGTCAAAGTCCCTGTACTATAGTACAGGGTCGTTGGCCAAATTTTGCCAAAAATGACTAGGAGAGAATTCTCAATTTTTATTAAATTTTCTGATGCATATACATGTTCTTATGATGTGTAGCAAGTTTGAGCTGATTCCGATTAAATTTGGATTTTTTACGAATTTTTAAAGTTACTCAAAAATTGGGCCAAAGTCCCTGTACTATAGTACAGGGTCGTTGGCCAAATTTTGCCAAAAGTGACTAGGAGAGAATTCTCAATTTTTATTACATTTTCTGATGCATATACATGTACTTATGATGTGTAGCAAGTGTGAGCTGATTCCGATTAAAATTAGATTTTTTACGAATTTTTTTAAGCTACTCAAAAATTAGGCCAAAGTCCCTGTACTATAATAGTACAGGGTCGTTGGCCAAATTTCACCAAAAATGACTAGGAGAGAATTCTCAATTTTTATTGCATTTTTTAATGCATATACACGTACATGTTCTTATGTTGTGTAGAAAGTTTAAGCTGATTCTGATTAAAACTAGATTTTTAATGAATTTTTAAAGTTGCTCAAAAATTGGGTCAAAGTCCCTGTACTATAGTACAGGGTCATTGGCCAAATTTCACCAAAAATGACTAGGAGAGAATTCTCAATTTTTATTACATTTTCTGATGCATATACATCTTCTTATGTTGTGTAGCAAGTTTGAGCTGATTCTGATTAAAATTAGATTTTTTACGAATTTTTAAAGTTACTCAAAAATTGGACCAAAGTCCCTTGTACTATAGTACAGGGTCGTTGGCCAAATTTCACTTGTCACTGATGAATGTATGAAGACAATTGTACATGCATTCTGATACATAATTTTACCTTATTATTATTGTATTATTTATTAATATATATTTTTTTAAATTTATTATTATTATTATTATATCACTATTATTATTATTTATTATTATTATTATTATTATTATTATATTACTATTATTATTATTTATTATTATTATCATTATTATTTAGAATAATGGCTTGCAACAAGTCCAGATTAAGATGACACATGAGAAGTACGACCACAATGAGTGTAGGGACATCTTACTGACTGCACTACAAGATGCACTGGAAGACATCGAGTGAGTTATACTGAGATACAATGTACACGTGTAACTAATAACACTGATATTTAATGATACTAATTCATGGTGATAATTGTGATAATTTTGTTTTTTTTTTTTCAAAGGCACGGAATTCCTGATCTTCCTCCTACTGGTTTTACACAGCTTGACAAATACAGGCACAAGTCACGTTTAGAAGAGCTTGTAAGTTGTCCACCATCTCTTCTACATACATGTAAATGTATAATATATAATTCTTTGATATCTTTCATATAATTTCATTCTATATGATTCCGCCATCTCTTTTGTCTCTCAGGGTTTAATGCTAGGAGAAGCTAAGCAGTTGTTGACAACCCCCGAGGGGACTCCGGTCGAAAACCTCACGCTACAACCTGTCATGGACTTGGTGGAAGAGTTTCATTCAAGACTCAAGAACATTGCTGTAGAGGTGAGAGAGAGAGAGAGAGAGAGAAAGAAAGGGAGAGAGAGAGAGGGAGGGAGGGAGGGAGAGAGCTAGAGAGAGAGAAATTTACTTTATTTTTTATTAAATGCGTTGTACATGTATACGTAGCCTCAAAACTGTATTCCTGATGTTATTGTTTGGATGCTCTCTGGGAACAAGAGGGTCGCCTTTGCAAGGATACCGTCCAGTCAACTCATGTATTTAGAAAAAGCTAAAGAAAGAGGAATCAAGTGTGGAAAGATCATCAACCTCAGGCTCAAGGTAACAATATACCGATCACTGATTCATTGATTCTGATCAGTGATTTCTTGATATAATTATTGATTCATTGATTAACAATTTATTGATTCTGATCTCTGATTCATTGATTCCTGATATTGTTATTGTCTACCCGTATAGCCACCAGCAGTTGAGAAGGAGTCAGATTTGGAGGGAACTAATCCACCTGGGGCCCTCCTTCGTGTTCTGATTTGGTTAGGACTTGAACAGCATCAGAGTGAATGGGCCAGATCAGCTCCAGGAGGTGAAGTAGCTGTATTTGCAGAGACTTACGAGAACAACGTAATACTCATCAGCACACACACGCAGAGTACTAGTTATATTATTGTTTTCTCTCCTCCCCCATAGGCATTCTTCCTTGGTAGATGGGGCACCACAGCCCTAATGAGACCCAATTGGTCTGACGCTAAAGGAAAGATAGTCCAGCCTATGGAAGCGTTTGAGCCACCACCTGTTGGTTGGAAATGGGACGGGGAGTGGGAGGTGAAGCCGGAGTTGAGTATTGCCTATGAACCTGACGAGGGACTCAATGAATGGGCCGAAGATATTTATGAGCATCAGACTAGACGACCTTTCTCTAGTTGGCCAGCTGATATGTCACAGTCTTCATGGTTCAATGTGGTGAGTGTTTGAAGCTTATGCTGTGTATTAGTATTGACAAGAAGAATACCTAGGGGGCTGTCTATCTGTAGCATATTTGGCGAATCTTATATCAACAATTTTGACAATTTTTATACATTTTAATTAAATGTAATTGGCTGGTTTTACTTTGCTAATGTACATGTACATGCATGTATATAAATTGGTTTTTTTCCAATACTCTCAATGTCAGCATACATGTACATTTATAACATTTATTCCTTAATTATTTCATGTACAATATAAGCTACATGTACGTGTACTCTCTCTTCTCCCTGTAGCATGGTGATGAGTTTATAGAGGAGGATGGTAAGAACAAGAAGAAACTAACTCGTGATGACGTTGAGCTCCCTGAGGGCTGGTCCTGGTCCACTGAATGGCAGGTGGACACCAACAGAGCTTGCGATGAAGAGGGTTAGCTATTCTAATTAATGTCACACTATTCTAATTAACATCATACTATTCTAATCAATGTTACACTATTCTAATTAATGTCACACTATTCTAATTAATGTCACACTATTCTAATTAAAGTCATGCTATTCTAATTAATGTCACACTATTCTAATTAATGTCACACTATAGGTTGGGAGTATTGCCTGGAGCCAGAGATGGGTGCTTGGAATCCTTTCGAACGGAACCATCACCACACGAGGAGGAGGCGCTGGGTCAGGACTCGTACAAGAATACTGGACGCTTCGATTGTAGCCAAGAAAAAGGTAAAGGAAGAGAAGTAGAGAACTAAAGAAGGAAGCCAAGATCTACTGTACTTATATTTACCAACCTACATGTACATGTATTTGTGTTTGAAAAATATTTATTTATTATTGCTTTTTTTTAATAGAAAAAGAAAGAGGCCCAGATAAAGGAAGGTTATGAATACGCTCGGTTCCACAACGCTACGTACCACAGCACTGATCATAAATTGGACCTTGCCAGAAGAAGGCGTTGGCTTCGTAAAATGATAGCAACTGATCCTGGGAAACCTCCAATATTCTATTTCAAGGGAGACGAAAAGAAAAAGAAGAAGAAGAAGGTAATTGTATGGGTGGGGGGAATGGGCGTGGTTTTATTAATGGGCGTGGTTTGTAGAAGGATGATGACAGCGACGATGAAGAGGAGGACACTAGGAAACAGCAGGCACCGAGAATGTTTGTGACCTTTAAAGGTTTGTTGTTGTTGTTGTTTATCATTATTTATATGCATGTATATTTCTTTTCACATTATTATTGTTTATTATTATTATTATTATTGTTTCCAGATCCTTATAAATATCATTTGCGTGCATACATATATCAAGCAAGAGATCTTTATGCCAGCGACAAATCTGGTCTATCAGGTATTTAAGTATCAGTTTCACATCTCTTTAATTATATTTCTGTCCTTTTTCTCTAGACCCTTATTGTATCATATCGTTTGATAGATACAGTCAGACCACGAGATATGTTCCAGAGTCTTTGTGTCCAACTTGGGACGAGACTAGGATTTTTGACGGCATCAGGATGTTTGGGAGTCCAAAGGTCTTCCAAGAATGTCCGCCAAAGATAATAGTTGAATTATTTGACAAGGACACCATAGTATGTACATTGTACATAATCTCTCTCTCTCTCTCTCCCATTTTTTTATTTCTTAAACCCATAATATACATGTAGATACAATGTACATGAACATGCATTTTATGATGTCACATACATATACATGTACACATGTAGCTATAGCATATGCTTTTTTCAAACTCTATAGGGTAAAGATGAGTATCTTGGTACGGTAGAGTGTATCCCCACGGTTAAACTATCTAATGATGATGCTGGTGCCAGGCTCCAATGGTTTGAAGTCAAGAGGTACGGGCAGTATGCTGGGGACCTCCTTGCAGCCTTTGAGCTATTCTGGGTAATAATCAGCTAGTACATGTACATGCATGTTTAACTCACCTTCTCCTCTTTCTCTCAGGATAATGATCGTGTTGATTTGCCTTTTGCTCCACCAACTTCTGATGAGGGTCACTTCCTTGTACCTAGTGGTATCAGACCAACCCTACAGAAAACTAGAATTGAAGTATTCAATATATTTAATATGTATATGTACATTGTAACTGTTCTCTTTCTCCCTCCATTAGGTGTTGTGTTGGGGTGTACGAGACATGAAGAGGTTTAGATTGCTCCAGGTTACATCCCCGCTGGTTGAGTTAGAGTGTGGAGGTAATGTTGTGAAGACGACTCACATTAAAGACACTAAGAAGAATCCTAACTTCCCTGAGCCTGTCATATCCATGGATGTTGTAAGTAAAATACGTACACTAGCTTTCTTCTCTCCAAATCCTCTTATGTACATACATGTACATGTACATGTATACATGTATGTACATGTTACATGTTATTGTTAATGCTGTATTTTAATTACATGTATATGTACAATGTAGCTTTTGCCTAAAGAAGAGATGTATGCTCCTCCATTTAACATCAAAGTCTATGATAAGAGGGCATTTGGGCAGCTGCCAATGGTCGGATGTCACGTTATTAAAACTCTTGAGGACTTCCACGTTGACCCGTCCCCTGGCTCACTAGTAGCTGGTAGGGACCCCACATCTTCTGAAGGTACAGGTACGTGTATTTAATGTAAATTTACATTTAATCTTATACATGTATGTATATGTATATTGTATTTGTGACCATAATTGACAAAAGGTACCTTATGACGGATAGGAAAATTGGTCCTTATAGCCTTAAAAATCTAACTTCCTGAACTCCATTTATCATGAAATTACTCCAGAGGATGCAAAAAGTTACTATGTAGCTTTTAGGAACAATATTTGTCTAATAGAGCACCCACAAGTTGATATTTTTCATCATAATGATGAATTTTAAAATCTGCCATAAGGTACCTTTTGTCAATTATGGTCACATTTGATAACGGCACTGCAAATACTAGAAGGCTCTTAGTCTTTCCAGTAACTTATAATGTGTAGATTGTACATGTAACTAAATGTAATCATAGCACTTTCACTAAATAAACATGTAACTCTCTCTCTCCCTTTCATTTTAAGGCATGGTTGCTATGCCTGGTGAAGGAGGTGAAGATGTTGCTATAGCTCTTGAAAAGGAAGGAGATGTGCTTGATGTGAGTGAACCATAGCCTCTCTCTTTCTCCTCTTTCCCTCTCCTCTTTCTCCCTCTCCTCTTTCTCCCTCTCCTCTTTCTCCCTCTCCTCTTTCTCCCTCTCCTCTTTCTCCCTCTCTTCTTTCCCTCTCTCCTTTTCCCTCTCTCCTGGCCTTTTAACCTCTTCTCTCTCTTATAGACTGACCCTGACAACAAGAAAGACGTCAAGTTTGACTGGTGGTCGAAATATTATGCTTCAATAAAAGACGAGAAGAGAACACAGCAAGAGTACCTTGATGAAGGACACGATTTGATGAAGGTAATTAAGTAACTAATTAATTAATTGGTCACACCCACTCATTAATTTTGACCACGCCCACCAGGTAATTGAAGGAGAGCTGGAAGATGCCTATAACAATTTTAACGATCTTGCTCAAACGTTTCACCTTTATCGTGGTAAAGGTGGGCGTGACCCTGATGACCCCGAGGGTCAATGTGTCGGGAAGTTTAAAGGCTCCGTTAAAGTTTACCCACTTCCTGACGATGGATCTCCTGAACCGCCTAAAATCCTGAGTCATATCCCGGCTTCAAAACCAGTTAAAGTTATTGTTAGGGTTTACATCGTTAGGGTAAGTGGGCGGAGAAAGGGGAGGGGCTATAGATTTGTTTGTTTTTTTGTAGGGTATTGACCTTCAGCCTCAAGATCCAAATGGAAAAGTAAATAAAATAAATTTAATTAATTTATTATTATTATTATTATTATTATGTACATTAATAACTTCATATTTTTCATGTTGATAGTCTGATCCATTCATTAAACTGGCCATTGGAAAGCACAAACTCAGTGATGTTGATAATTACATTCCTAATAATCTCAATCCTTTATTTGGTCGCATGTACGAGCTACCAGCAACCCTCCCACTCGACCACACCCTTGAGATAAAGGTCATGGACTATGACAGGACCTCCGCTAATGATTTGATCGGAGAAACGACCATTGATCTTGAGAACAGGTTCTTGACCCAGCACAGAGCTATCTGCGGCCTACCAGAAACATTTTCCAAGTAAGAACAAGGACTTTTTTCCATGGATGTGAAATTTGAAAATTTCTTGATTTTTTCAGTGGTTGCATCACCATGCAGCCATTTTCCAAATATTTTGCAAAATATACATACATGTATTTATCTTGTTTCGTTTAAGCCACACCCATTTTTTGTAGGCGTGGCCCCAACCGCTGGCGTGACTATGAGCTACCAAAGGATATTCTCAGTTGGTATTGTAAGACCCAGCGATTCCCTGAGCCGGTTTGGATGGGAACAGAAGAAGTGTTGTTTAATGGAACCACATACACACTGGACCAATTTGGTAAGAGAGAGGGGGGGGAGAGAGAGAGAGAGATGTAGTACATGTACATATTGACATTTTAATCATTTTATTTTACTATTTATTTTTTAAACTAGAAAATATGAAGCCCTTGCATTCTGATGTTGGTCTTCCTGAGCAGCGACTAGCACTCCATATTTTACGCCAGCAGAACATTGTCCCTGAACACATTGAGAAAAGGACCCTCTACAATCCAATGTATCCTGGAATATCACAAGTTAGTAGCATCACATGTACATGTACATATATAGGCACTCTCCTTTCATAGGGTGCTCTACACATGTGGGTGGATATATTCCCTAAGTCCTCGTCTCCTCCTCAACCTGTTGATATTGCTCCTCGTAAACCCGAGCCTTACATCCTGAGGATTTGTGTCTATAATACGAAAGACGTCATTCTTGATGAGGTCTCGGTGGCTACTGGTGAAGCAATGTCTGATATATACATTAAAGGGTAGGGCATAGTAGTGTCACGTGATTGTCAGGTGACCTGTTGTGTATTGGTAGGTGGTTGCGTGGGGAAGACGAGACTCAGAAGACTGACGTTCATTACAGATCAATGGATGGAGAGGGAAACTTTAACTGGAGGTTTGTGTTCCCGTTTAAGTATCTAACAGCTGAGGAAACCATGGTCATACAGAAGAAGGTAAAGAAGGAAAGAGAAGGAGAAAAGAATGTTTATATTTTTTTGTTTTTTTTTTTGTAGGAACATTTTTACAGTCTTGATAAGACTGAGATGCATTTGCCACCTCGTCTGACTTTGCAAGTTTGGGATAACGACCTTTTCTCTCCTGATGATTTTATCGGTACATCTCAACTCTCCTCTAACTCTCTTTCCGTCTTTCTTTCTCGATCTATCTTTCTCACTCTTGTTTTCATGTTTTTTATTCCTTCCCCTTTCTCTCTCAGGTACTGTTGATTTCCATCTTGCTGCTCTCCCCCAAAGTGCCAAGAGTGCAGAGGAGTGTTCTCTAGAGCAGCTACCTGAGCCAGGGCGGGAAGTTAAACTTGACAATTTGTTTGAAAGGAAGAGAGTGAAGGGTTGGTGGCCAATGTACAGCGAAGAGGAAGGAGAGAGGACACTATCAGTAAGACCACTACCTCTTTTCATTACATGTACCATAATGTACTTGCTTTATTTAATTATTTTATTTTGTTTTATTTAATTGCTGGTATTCAATTTATTGACCATTCTTGCAGGGTAAAGTTGAGTTAGAGATGGAGATAGTTACGTTAGAAGAGTCACAGATCAGACCAGCTGCTAAAGCTCGTGACGAGCCCAACTTGAATCCGGTACTTTTGGAACCAAAGTGAGCCAGTAACATATTAATCATCCAATTAATAATAATAATAAATAATAATAATAATAATAATAATAATAATGTTAAAAATAAATTATTAGTAGACTAGATAGGTTATCATATCGTTTTTTTTTTTCAGACGTCCGGAAACCTCATTTTTTTGGCTCACATCTCCACTGAAGACATTTAAGCATATTGTGTGGAAGTACTACAAGTGGCACATAATATTTGGTATAATTTTGGTATTGACCATCATAATGCTGGTTATATTCATATACACAGCCCCGGTTAGTTATATAGTCTTAATAATAGTTTATTAACTATTAAAAATAATCAGTTGATTTTAATAATAGTTAATTAACTAGTAATGATATTTTAATATGTTCTTAGTTGGTCGTGAGCATAAGATATTATTTTTGTTTTTTTTTTTTTCTAGAATTTCTTGGCTCAATATCTGTTGGATCGTATCCTGCCATTCTAAATATAGAACTAAGACTTTTTGCCATCACAAATATAATTTTCCTTTTTTTTCAAACGCTTGGTTAATGACTTTTAGACTTTGTAGTTCTCCTTTTAGTTGCTATATTCCATTATTTTTAGTTGCTTCATTTTGTAGTCATTGATTATTATTATTGATTGATTAATTTTTTAATAAGGGGACACGTGCAAACACGTGAGCTGCATTATCGCAGTCACGCCTATTCTCAAAAGGCTTCGTCTCTGTAAATGGCGACTGGTTCTCTACAACTTCCTGTGGTACAGAAGACTATTGGCGGCCTCAGCTCTATCCTACGGGGAGATGGGAGCCAGTCAGTAAAGGAAGACGCTATATTGAGTCATTTAAAAGCACTGGAGACAGACAGCCGTTTCAACATTGACCCAGAATTTCCTTCTGATGGGAATTGGTTTAACACAGGTGGCAAGCCTCTCTCCTTCTCTTCTGGCCAGTTAGAAGGGAACCTGATCCTCCTTGACTTCTTCACGTACTGCTGTATCAATTGTCTCCACTTGCTGCCTGATTTAGCTAAACTTGAATCCAAATTCAGCCACAATGAAGGCCTATTGGTGGTAGGTGTGCACTCACCAAAGTTCCCCAATGAGAAGGGAGACTCCAATTTATTAAACGCCATACTTCGCTATGATATACACCATCCAGTACTCAATGATGTTAATATCATCCTTTGGGAGAAACTCGGTATCTCGTGTTGGCCCACTGTCGTTCTAATTGGGCCAGGAAACAAATTAATTTATTATATTATCGGAGAGGGGCATTATATGGAGATGGAGCTATTTGTGAGTACTGCTCTTCGTTATTATAAATCCAGTGGAGTTTTGAGGGGCGTGTCTGTGGGCGTGGCTCTGGAGAAAGACAAAGTGGAGGAGAGTATTTTGAGCTTTCCGGGAAAACTGGTTTCTTTTAAAAGAGGCGGAGTTTCGGAGCTATTGTGCATATCTGATTCGTCGAATCATCGTGTATTGGTTGTTGATGCTGTCACTGGCCTCGTCAAACAGGTTTATGGATCTGGTTCTCCTGGTTTTAAGGATGGGCGGGGCAAGGAGGCAGAGTTTAATTGTCCCCAAGGATTGGTGATATGCGAGGAGTGTGTTTATGTTGCTGATACAGAAAATCATTTAATTAGAAAGGTAATATTTAATTGATTAGCATTAAAACATTTAGCAACAAAAAACGCCTGAAATTTTTTTTAATTTTCTTATTCATATTGAACTATGTGGAAAGTTTGAGCTGATTCTGACTTCAATTTTTTAAGTTACGGCCATTTTAAGAAAACGTCAAGATTCTGAAAAATACCCAAGGCTATAGTCCATGGTTTTTTCCAAAAAATGGCTCCGAAATCACCCCAAATTTTTATTACATTTTCTGATACATATTGATGTCCTTAAGCTGTGTAGCAAGTTTGAGCTGATTTCGACTTCAGTTTTTCAAGTTACAGCCATTTTAAGAAATTGCCGAAATTCTGAAAAATACTCAAGGCTATAGTCCATGGTTTTTTCTAAAAAATGGCTCCGAAATCACCCCAAGTTTTTATTACATTTTCTGATACATATTGATGTCCTTAAGCTATGTAGCAAGTTTGAAGTGATTCCGACTTCAATTTTTCAAGTTACAGCCATTTTAAGAAAACATCAAAATTCTGAAAAATACCCAAGGCTATAGTCCATGGTTTTTTCCAAAAAATGGCTCCGAAATCACCCCAAATTTTTATTACATTTTCTGATACATATTGATGTCCTTAAGCTATGTAGCAAGTTTGAAGTGATTCCGACTTCAATTTTTCAAGTTACAGCCATTTTAAGAAAACATCAAAATTCTGAAAAATACCCAAGGCTATAGTCCATGGTTTTTTCCAAAAAATGGCTCCGAAATCACCCCAAATTTTTATTACATTTTCTGATACATATTGATGTCCTTAAGCTGTGTAGCAAGTTTGAGCTGATTTCGACTTCAGTTTTTCAAGTTACAGCCATTTTAAGAAATTGCCGAAATTCTGAAAAATACTCAAGGCTATAGTCCATGGTTTTTTCTAAAAAATGGCTCCGAAATCACCCCAAGTTTTTATTACATTTTCTGATACATATTGATGTCCTTAAGCTATGTAGCAAGTTTGAAGTGATTCCGACTTCAATTTTTCAAGTTACAGCCATTTTAAGAAAACATCAAAATTCTGAAAAATACCCAAGGCTATAGTCCATGGTTTTTTCCAAAAAATGGCTCCGAAATCACCCCAAATTTTTATTACATTTTCTAATACATATTGATGTCCTTATGCTATGTACAAATTTTGACGTGTTTTCGACAAGTAATTTTTGAGTTATTAGCAATTTAAAATGGAGAATTCTTACTATTAAAATCTCCTTTGTTAGATTTCATTGTCTGATGATTTTGTTCTCACAGTGGCTGGGACTGGCTACCAAGGAAATGACAAAGAGGGTGGGAAAGTTGGAAAGGAACAAGAAATCAGCTCACCCTGGGACCTTGCCATCAATAGCGGTACACAACACTAATAACTAGTGGGTGTGGTTTAATTATTTATTCATAGATTGCTCAATCATTTACATTGCAATGGCTGGTACTCATCAACTTTGGGCGTATTTTCTAAATAATGCTCAACTCTTCAAAAAGTAATTAAAACAATAATTATTCATTACTCATGAATAATTAATTAATTAGGGTGGAGTATGGGCGTGGCTCTGTTGTTAGGATGGTTGGATCTGGAGAAGAAGCAAATAAAAATAATTCATTTCCTTATAAGGCAGCATTGGCTCAACCCTCGGGCCTTAGTTTAACAAAAGGTCTTATATGCAGATTAATTATGATTCTATTTTTAGTATCATTTGTTACTATTTTTAGATGGTTCTATTCTTTATGTGGCCGACAGTGAGAGCAGTACAATTCGCTCTGTGTCTCTTAATGAAGGGGGCGGGGTCAAAGCTGTAGTGGGAGGAGCTTTAGACCCAATGGTGTGTAGTTATAATAACTATTATTATTATTATTGTTGTTGTTGTTTTAGGATTTGTTTGCTTATGGAGATGTTGATGGGAAAGGACGTGATGTTAAGCTCCAGCATCCAATGGGTGTGGCTTGGGATGATACCAATCAGTTGTTATACATTGCAGATTCCTTCAATCATAAAGTATGGAAAGATTCATATCATTATGAAAAATTACTTCTTTCTCTCTCTCTCTCTCAGATTAAAGTGGTCAATCCTAAGACTAAAGTATGCAGTACTTTGGCTGGTACAGGGTCTCCTGGTTTGGTCGATGGTTCTTTTGAGGTGGCCCAATTCTCAGAGCCAGCTGGACTGTGTATGAGTCAAGAGGGCGATACACTCTATGTTGCTGATACTAATAATCATGCTATAAGAATACTGGATTTAAAAGAGAAGAAAGTGTCTCAGGTAATTAATAGTATTTTGTCTATCAGAACTACATGTACTGTGCATGTGCATTCATAATTGGCATATTTTCAAGCAGCCATAACTTGTTAAACATTAGCCACACTACTGTGGTGTTTTTAGAGCCAAATAGTATGGTTTTCCTCAGAAATTTCTGAGGTTTGTAACCTAAGTTTCTGTACTAGTTTCTGAGTTGTTTATGTTGACCGTAATCACTGTGTTTATTAAATGTTTTGTATTTTATCTAATCAATCTTAATAAGCGTTTATTAGATTACCTTTCTTGTTATTATCGTTCCTGTCATCACTAATTATAAACAGGAGAGACCCCACCATAACACACGTACATGTACATGTACATACATCAAAGTTATATTGGCATACTTTAGTGGCACAGTGGCACTTAATTTTGCTATAGAAGTGCATTTGATACTTTTATGTGTCAATTTTGTTCACACGTACATGTACATGTACATTACTAATATTAGCATCCATGATTTGCAGTACTTGTATTAATATTATTACAAATAAAACTCACAAGTCAAAGTCCTATGTATTTAATAGTTATTATTATTATTATTATTAGGTTAAACTCCGCCTCTCCCAGGACAGTACCGCTAATGCTGAAGACACTGACTGCAGCTCATCTTACACGCCCATAACTAACCCTCGTTTTGTATCCATGGTAACCCTGAGTCCCCTTAGCGTCCCTCCAAAAGGTGACCTTGAGATTAGTTTGACCTTTGAGCTCCAGACAGGATATGAGCTTAACGATGGATCCATCTGGCAGTTAATACCTTGTATGTACAATAATGATAATCTGATTATATTGAATTAAGTGTGTTCCCTCCCTCTCTACTAGTGCCTACTGATTCACCTGTTGCTTTTACTAGCCCAGTTAACAAGAAGGGAACGGTCCAGTTGCTGGCCCCACTGGTGATTAAATTAAGTTTAGGCGACACACTTGATGTGTCTAATGTCAAAGTGACAATACAAGTAAGTACATGTATGGCAGCTGCTTGGGGTACATGTACATTGTATAAGGTAATGGTGAGTGTGTGTGTGGGTGGATATTGAAAGGTTCGGTACGTGTCATTAGATAGAGTGAATTTCCCTTTTTGGTTTCCTTCTTTGATTATTTTATCTCTTGTGTGTTATGATAAGAATTGGGGAAGGAGAAATGGAAGGAAGTGTAATGTGTATTAGCCAAAAGGTTGAACCCAATACTCTTCATCCTGCCTATAGGTTTTGTTAGTATATTATTAGTATACTATTAGTATATTGTTAGTATATTTCAAGGTGTGGTAAACGCCTTGTTATTGTATAGTCTTGAAATCCACCAACTCATAGCAACCCCAAATGACAAACATCTACCCACTTACTATTATTCTAATTATCTCTCTTTGTCTCTCTTTGTCTCTCTCTCTCTCTTTTAGTTGGAGTTGTTCATTATTGGTTGTTCTCTCATTGATGACGCATGCCACATGAAACAGTGTATCATAAACCAACCACTTCATTTCAGTGAACAATCATCTCCAGCTGCTCATTCAATATCACATCTAATCATCATGTCAGAAGACCAACAGGATTAGGCCTGTACATGTACATCATCCATTATGTATGTGTACATGTTTACCGTGTGTATCAATGATTGTAATTCTTGTACTTTCTCATGTTTTAATCAATTGCATTCTTGTTTTATTTCTCTCAATAACAATATTTTGTTACATTTTATTTCATTCAGCCTTGTTCTTTAATTTTTAATAGAGATAAAGAGAACTGCAATATCCTTTGTGTTTATTGTCTGCTATTAGAACTATCATTAATTTATTGTTTTTTAATATTAAGTAAATTCCAAACCTTCATTCTAAAGTCTTCTTTGAGTTAATATTGCATTTACACTAGCTCCTTACTTTGTGTCAAGTTTTGACATGTTCAGTTAACGCTGTTTATAATAATTCTTCATTCTTTCTCATCTAATCACCATCAGAACAGATGGAAGGGAGCTTGTGTACATTGTATATCAGTCTGTCACTATGCGTTCAATTGATATAAATATAATGCTGTCTGCTCTTTGTTATGCATGTTATGTACATGTAGTGCGACTGTACTCTGTGTGTGTGTGTGTGTGTGTGTGTGTGAATTCTTTCTATGAGAGTAAAGTACAGTCACTATATCAATGGGATATACATTGTAAAGTCAATGAGTATGACTAATGTCTTTAAAATTCTTAAATTGTAACTGTTTTTAAAATTATTTTTGTGACTCATTTTAGCAGTTTGTACAATAAGCTATAGATAGACAGACACCTGTATTGATAGGCCGATTAAAGGCTTGAGCCACTTGACCTATATAATCTAACTATCTGTACTCACTCACACACACACACCTCTCTCTTTGAGTTGTATTTAACCACAAGCAAACCATATGTCATCATTGTAACACTTGAAAGGAATCTGTGTCTACCTTTGAAGACAAAATGAGTAGCAGCCAATTAATAATATTATAATTGTAATATTAAGGTATATGTAACGTAGTTTATATATCAGTATAAGAAAGTACATAGTGTGCATTATACCTGTATTGCTACTGTTTTCCTGTTCTGGGTGGTATACTATTACTCTAGTATGAGGTTCCTTTATAAAGCTTTTCTTGGCTGGTAGCTTTCAGTTGTTTGGCTTTCTCTTGGCTACAGTCTTCACTAAGCTGGTGTATTAGATCACTAAGCCCTAACTTAATCCTGGGGAAAGTATTTAAGTGTTGATTAGTATTTTGAAAACAGTTCAGCTGGGATATTTGCAAATTAGTTCTGCAGGACAGGAGACTTATATATAAAGGACCTGTTTCTTTGTCATTGTCTGGTGGCCAGCTATTGGAGAGAAGTGTCAAGATCTACTCTACACTCTGTACTCTATTCTACAGATAGTCTACTACAGATATCTCAGTACAGATTGTCACTACTTACTGTTATAATTTCAGGATTGATCTCAGCTCTCCACTGACCAACTTTTTATCACCTGTCTATTTAGGTAAGTAAATCAATTGAAACTTTGTCAGTTGTAGGCAGTTTCTTTGTTGTGGCACTATGCCACTGCAACCTATCATATATAGTCAGCAGACAGTCACAGTATACTCTACTATATTTTAGCATCTGGGCTATAATTTTGACTTCTCTGATTCCACTATTAAAGTCTGAGTTCTAAATAGCTATTTTTAATACATTATTATTTTTTATTTCTTAAGTGCTTAGCTTAGCCTGCAGTCTATTAACTGTCATTATTGCCATAGATGCAGATACTGTCTATGATATTTTATTGTGCAAAGGGAATTTTTAGGACTTTCTACACGGAAATACGGAAAACTAATAATTGTATTTAATTAACTATAAACTTATTAATAACCAAAACCACACCCACATCAATGAATAATTTAATTAGATCAAACCACACCCTCTCATAAAATTTCATTTCCGGTTTCATTTCTCATTTCCGGTTTAGTTGCGTGGGTGTCTGCTAATAATAAGAATCATGCACAGAAGAACAAATTCATACAGTTACACTGTGAACAGCAACAGCGTCCCTCCACCTTTAGCTGCTCTATCAAAGAAGCTACAGCAGAACGAGGAGTTTGTAAGGAGTACGCTAGACAGAAGGAGCTACAAGTCAAGCAACAGTTCCCTCTCCGCTAATAAAGGCTACAAAAACGTCACGGTTACTCTAGCTGTGCCCGGCAAAGTGAAATACTCGGTCGAAGATATGTATCGACCCAGATCTCCAGTGAAAGTAAATCATAAAAGCGGGCCCAGAGGCTCACCAGGAGCCACTGCTGGAACAGACACTATACCAGAGCTGGACTCGTTGCTCTGTGATATAAAGGAGCAACTGGTAAGCATGCAGTGGAGCTACTAAAAGTGCATTATCATTAAAATAGCATTTTAACATCAGATTATATTTATAATCATTCTTTTCTTTCTTTCCTGTAGTCTCTAATGAAAAGAGAGAGGAATGATATAGCAGATAGACTCAGTAGCCTCTCCTGGGGGATTGATGATACTTTTGATGAACTACAAGCTAGCATTACTGCTTCTGCAGCATCTCAACAGCAACAACGTAGCAATTCAAGCTTGCGTCGTATACACAGTCTTGATTCAAGCTCATCACTTGCTTCATACAGTTTAACCCAGCTTCCTGATAATATAATGGAGACTGCCATATCAGAGGCAGATTCAGCTAGCATGTCAAGTGTGGATAACAGTCCTTTATTGATCCATAAATCTGGCACTGCTCCTGATACTGTATCCATCGATTCTCTGACCAATTCTGGTATTGCTGGTTCCCATTCTCCTAGTATAGTTAGACGTAACAGCAGTTTAACAAGGAAAGGAATGAGCAACAGGTTACCAACAATACCAGACAGAGACAGCGCAATGTCTTTCATCGAGGGAGTTGATGGAGAGATTGAGAGAGGAGGGGAGAGTTCGTCTGACGAACTTCAAGTAAGTCCTTCGTCTTTCCAGCAAGTATCTCCAGAGAACTCAAGTCCAAAGGTACTCTTTTCGCCAAAGAATTCAAAATCCCCCAAAGTTTCTTCCCCAACTGGTCTTTACTATACATTACCAAATCGTCACTCGTCTACTCCTTCTTCCCCGCACAACAGAACCCCATCAAGCAGGTTGGACGCGTCCGATACAGGTTTATTCTGTTGGGATAAAGCATCGATTAACTCAAATGACAGCTCTTCGATGATACTCCAAATTAGCTCGGCTACAGGTCAGTTGGAGAAAGTGCCAAAAACATCCAGATTATTGTTGTCTTCTAAAGTTGACAGACAAAACAAAGATCAGGAGTACTGCTCACTGCCACAATCCTACCGTCTCTCTGTCTCCTCTTATTACATTGGGCCTGGGTTTGAAGACAGTGATAGTATGATAATGAAGCTATCAGAAGAGCCTAGTGTCCCCTCAAGATCTAACAGCATAAGTAGTGTATTATCATCACACTCAGCAAGATCTCACAAACTAAGTACATCATCAAGGAACAGTGTATTGCTAAACTCTAAAGAAACATCAGTATGAATCAAACGACCTCCTCAAATCTAACTGATACATGATATACTCTCCCTCTTTCTGTATTATAAGTTATTTTATTATGAAATGTATTATTATTATAATTAGACATGTATTATTATCAATCATTAAATTCTTGTGATATTTTATAGTCTGTACACTTTAAAATACTCGGAAATTGTGCCAAACACATCCACTCCCTTTACACCCAACACTAAGCCAACCAGAACAAGAGGAAAAACATCTCTCTCTCTCTTCCACTGTATCACCATGACATCATTAGCACATACTGAGCATCTTTAGTCTGCCTTAATAAGGTATTTTGTGAGGAATACTGATACATTAAAGGTCTGAAGTGTTATTAGATTAGCTGTGGTAGCATACACAGAAGTATACACCCTACACACATACGCAATAATAAATTATTATTAGTAGAACTTAAATGAATCATGTGTCTCGTTTTGGTGTCATTGTGTCTCCATATAATGCCAGTATTGATAATCACAATCATTAATGATCTTCATTGGATTATGTCAGTATTGTTATTGCTACTCCATACCACTAATCACTACATGTACATGTATTGATATTAAAATAAAGAGTTGACCCTAAGAGAGTGTTTGTGTTCACCAGAAAGGATCTATTAGTAAATATGTAATAAAAATCATATCCTCTTTATACAGCTGCTGGCAATAAACAATATTAAGTCATACACTCAGTAAGAGAGAGTGGGAGGAAGAGAGAGAGAGAGAAAGAGAGATTAGGAGAGGAATGTATACCCTAATCTGCTAATAAGAGAGAAATAACACTATCTCTAGAATGTATAGACTGCGCTAATTAGCAAAAAGACATAATTCTAGCAGTAACATTATTTCTTTCTCCAAAACCATCCACACTCGTATCAAAACACAGGAACCACTGAAGAATAAACAACCATCACTTTATAGAGTATTATCACACAGGATAAAACAGCTCTACTTATGAATGAAATCAAAAAAGAACAACTTTCATTACTACTAATAATAAATTTATAACAACAACAATACTGATGCTAAACACATGTACAATTGTAATATCAGTGAAGGCAGCGACAAAACTAATTTTGCAGGTGCTACTATGATAGAGAAATTAATATTTATTTTTATTCAACTAATTTGTGTCCAGTCATTTCCGGAGGTACGTCCAGTCCCATTATTTGTAATACGGTAGGAGCAACATCAGCTAGTGAAGCATTGTGAGTGGGAGAAAGGAACTTCAATCCATTACCATGAAGACAGAATGGTACTACATAAGAAGAGAAAATTAATTGACATTTGTAGTTTCCCATAAAATCACGAAAATATTTAATTCTTGACAAGGGTCTGATTTAACATGTGTACATTATATCTATTGGCAACTCAATGATGCATAACAAACATAATGTAAGGAGAGATTTATTAGTACACATGTATCATTGCTATGGTGTGACAATCCTGTTCACAAATCTGTCGGACACATGTTCTCCCTTACCAACACACACACTCCTCATAAGAGAACATGTTCACGTACATAATGCGACATAGAAACACATCACATCATATGATTATTAGTAGGCAAATGTAGAATATTATGGAGAACACTTTCTGGATATTGCATTCAAAATTTTCTGTTCATGTGTATGTACATGTACATCTATAAACACAACCACACATCTTCCAAGTACATTGTGTAGATGTACATGTACACAATGTGCATATACAATATTTATAGGAAGTGTCACAAGGACTGATAATAATCATGACAGATCCCTGACCAGTTGCAGGGCTAGTTAGTGAATTCCCTGCATTCCTGCCATTAACAATGAATTACATTAGGAGCCAAATAAAGCTGAAGTGTACCAGAAAGGACGATAATTATAAAAACATCAGGGCCAAAGTGACGAGAGATGCAGGCAAGAATATTCACAAGTTATAATGACTGATACACTGTCAGTCTGTCTCTTTCACACAAGACAGTAACAATTATTATCATACAATAATTATAATAACAATAATAATACAGACACACTATGCATGCACATTACTTATAATCCAATGTCATATACATGTATGTACATGTACATGTACATGTACATTACAGTACGAGCTAAATGAAGAGATAAGGCTATTATACCACAGTACAGAGAAGGCGGTTCACAGCTGGGTCAATCATACATGTAGTTATGACATCATGAGTTCAGTTGAAATGTGATAGTAAATAACTGGAATACAATACTTAGTCATTGTAGTGATACTATTTGATTCTCTCTCTCTCTCCATTCATACTAATTTTGTCATACAAACATAACATGTACGTGCACACGTACATGTAGGAGGCACAAATAAATATTAGATATCAGATACATGTAATTATGGTGTACATGTACATGTATGTCTGATTTGGAGGAATCCATAGATATTTGAGAAGGAAATGAGATTAGCAAATGTAACGACAGACCCATACACTTCACTAAAGAGAGTTATTTGCTGTTTAAATACACGTACATGTATCTATACATGTACATGTACATGTAAGTGCATGACATTGCACAAAAGTAAGTTTAGACATACAAGTACAGTACATGTAGACCAATGATTTTTATCATTAATATTTAATTTTATTTATTTATTTATTTCTTGGCAAATGTATTATGTACATGTACATGTACTGTACATGTACATACCGCGAAATGTTGTGTGTTTAGTGACAGGTTTTCCTTCTTCATCAATCATCCGTTCGGCATTCCCGTGATCAGCAGTGATCAACAGTACGTAACCTTTCTCTTCACAGGCTCTTTGTATGGCACCAATCGCTTTATCAGTTGCTGCACAGGCTACCACTGCCGGCTCGTATTGACCTGTGTGACCGACCATGTCTGGAGGTGCAAAGTTACACATGACAAAAGAATACTTGTCACTTTTAATGGCTTCAACCATCTAAGAGGAGAGGGAGAGAAAATGAGGTATGTATAAACAATTGATTAAAGAATAATTCATCAAAATTTTTCTTCTACCTCCCCCCCTTTTTATTCCCATATTCAATTACATGTACATGTACATGTACATGTATATGTACATGTACATGTACTTACAGCTTCTCCAACTCCCTCTGCACTCATTTCAGGCTTTAGATCATAAGTGGGTACTTTAGGAGAGGGTACCATGCACCTCTCCTCCCCGTCAAATGCCTTCTCTAGTCCGCCGTTAAAGAAGAAAGTGACGTGAGCATATTTCTCAGTCTCGGCACAATGGAACTGTTTGAGTCCTTTGAGAGAGAGCCACTCGGCGAGACTGTTCTTTGGAACGGTAGGCGGGAATATGACTGGGAATGGAAACTCTTTCTTGTACTCTGTCATTGTATAAACAGACTAAGAAATAAATAAAAAATGATTAGTAATACAACATGTACATGTGTATACATACATTGTACATGTTCATGTACATGTACATTTACAATGTAGCTATAAAAAATTTGGCAAATTGACTCTAAGAAGAGGTTTGGTGACACCATACACACACCATACATGTAGATAGTAACACATGTATCTGAACATGTACATGTACATGTACAGTATGTTTAAATTGTACACACCCTATTACGCTTACAATATTCTTTGGAATGGTTTCAGTCTCAAATTGTGGTTTTATTCCGAATGCTTCCACAATTTGTCTCATCCTGTCAGCTCTAAAGTCAATGAATATCAATGTGTCTCCATCTACAGGAGGCAAGGTAAGTGAGAGTGGCTTAAATTAAACATACATGTACATGTACATGTATTTCACCTTTTATCTGTCCTTCAGTGTCCAGTATGACCGGTTTCATAAACTCGTCTGTCTGCTTTGCATCTCCATCAGCATTGTAACGTTCCTCCATCAGCTATACACATAAACATGTAAATCAAATACTAATACATGTACATGTACATGTACATGTACACGTACATGTAATTCACGCTCTCCTTTACTCTTCCTCTTACATTGATAAGTTTATCGGTCTCCACTTCCACTCCTTTTCTTTGTGTCATTCCTTCATATGCAATCTTAATCCTTTCATATCTCTTGTCTCGGTCCATTGCATAATAACGACCAGCGAGAGTAGCCAGGGAACCATATCCCAACTCTTTTAGGTACTGGAGGAGTCGCCTCACGTACGTTACTAAATTTATAAAATTATAATTAAGCATTCTTCAACATTTCACACTATGAGGAACTAATAAGTGAAAATATTTAACGAGGTTGAGGATAATTGGTTAAAGCCACGCCCAGTAATTAACTTTGAATATATAATTACCTCCACTAGTTGGTGAGGTGTCTCGGCCATCGGAGAAGAAGTGGACGAAAGACTTTGGGACATTATCCTTTTTAGCAGCTTTTAATAGAGCTTCAAGGTGATCGATATGACTGTGAACGCCACCATCACTTACCTACATGTACATGTACATATACATTGCGTATTATCATTGTGTACATGTAAAGTACATGTATTATAATTAAAAGTTAAATACAAGGATTACTTTGACTATGAGTCTATGATGCATATAATTGGCAATTATTGTTACTGCTGTTGGGTGGAGTACCACATGTAAATTGATGTAATACAAATATTATTATTATTATAACATTATATTTACATGTATATTTAATTTCTTACCAGTCCCAAAAAGTGGACTCGTCCGTTACCAGTTTTAGCTTTTTCAAATGCTTCCAGTAAGACTGGTTTAGTGTATATTGACTCATTAGCTATTGATAAGTTAATAGCAACAATATCCTACACAAAAAGATGAGGAGTATAACAGTCTGTACATAATTTTTGAGTAAATTTAAAAATTTGTAAAAAATCCAGTTTTAATCGGAGTCTGCCCAAACTTAAAACACAACATAAGAACATGTATATGCATCAGAAAATGTAATAAAAATTGAGAATTCTCTCCTAGTCATTTGGAAAAATCTGGCTAATGGCCCTGCACTATAGTACAGGGACTTTGGCCTGACTTTTAAGTAACTTTAAAAAATCCAATTTTAATCAGAATCAACTCAAACATTCCACACAACATAAGAGCATGTATATGCATCAGAAAATGTAATAGAAGTGTTCTTTTGTTGCCAATTTCTATAAAATCAATTGATACAGTACAATAATACTACAAAGTGACTACAATGCATGTACATGTATGTATGTATGTAATATGTATAATATATGTACAATGTACATGTATGTGTGTCTGTCCCTCCTAATACAATGTACCTGATAAGAGACTCGACCAGTTCCAATGGTATAGTGTCCAACTTCACTATTTCCCATCAGCCCATCTGGAAGACCCACGGAAAGACCTGTAGGATTCCAATTAAAGCACACTACCCTAATTAAGGACAAACCTGATGCATCAAGTGTTAGGAACTCTCCCTCAACCTTTTCAAGTGCATCCATTACCGGAGTCTCTGCATTCCTGATAGCATTACCTAATATTTATTAATTATAAACAAACCAAGTAATGATTCTATTTGCTCAATAAGTGCATTATAAATATAGCTACCACGCACATACCAATTATGACTAAATACACTGCATTTAATGATACCTTTAACTTCTTCTGATAGTCCCCAGCCGTCAATAACAACCAAACAAACTTTATTGCTAACTGACGCCATGACAGTTTGCACTTTACACCCTGGCTGTAGGCGTGGCTGAATTTGTGGGCGTTGGCATATATTTACTCTAATATCTATGGCGTTGGTTAAAAAAAGAAGGCGCGGCGCCATTTTAAAATGGCGGCTCTGAAGGTTTCAATAGATTTGAGTTCTACATGGGAATTGGGGCCTGAGAGTGATTCAAAAGACCTCAAAGATATTTTCTTGATAAATAAAAAGTATAATGACACCATAATATTTTATTATGAATTTAATATGTCAATTTTAGAACTCCTGATAATGATAATAATGAAGATACAAAAAGTGATGATGAGAAGAGTGTGAAATTATTCTCCTCCTCCTCCTCTCCTTGTTTTATATACATTGATGCTAAACGACTAAGTAATTACACTATGGTAGGGCTAGAAGTGATGAGCTCTTCACGTAATATTGAGCTCTATAGTGGACTCAGTGATACAACCAGTTACATTAGTACTGGTAGAGGTACTCCTCTTAAAAAAATCAAAGGAAGGTATTAGAAATATTAATATTGCATTTAATGTGACTATTTATTCTTTCACCCTCTCAGTAACATGTACAGATGCATAATGAGTTTTGAAGGAGAATCACTGACAGAATTATCATTGAAAGTAATTATATAAATAGACTAATAAGTAATAATTATTAATGCTATTAACTTGCTGGTACTTTTTGACAGTTTGTCTCAGTTAGACATCAACAGGAAGCACTCATTACTCGATTGTGTGTATCAGTTAATGAGATCAGTGAAGATGAAAGGGGACTAATGAGTGCAGGTATTACTAGTACTAGTCATCATCACCCAAGGCCAGATCAACAGATACAAGATATGCAATACTTAATGAAAGAAGCTAAAACTACCCTACCAATACCACAGTTATTATCAACACTGCAACGACTTCAAGTTGGTTTCAGCATGACTATACTAAACATATACTTAATGTTATGAATAAAATTCTTTCTATCAGTTATTTGTTGTAATACATTGTTCATTTATTGCTTTACTGATTCTTGTACATGTAGGAAGCCCCTGGTGTGGCTACTAATACTGATATGAATCAAATGATGTCTCTTTTTCGACAAATACATCAAGACAAGTCTGCTCCATTAAAAGATGCAAGACTAAAAGAGACTAAAATTAATGGATTGGAGGAAGAAGAAAATAATATTGATGAGAAAGATAAAGTCATTAATGGAGACACAGAGATAGAGAAATTAGAGACAAGACTAAAGGAATATATTGACATTAAGATGTCAGAACTTGAGATAAAGTTAACAGAACATCTGACACAATTAATACGCAAAGAAGCAGCACTTATTAATAATAATACAGAATAATAATGCGTTATTAAAATGATGAATGTCATAATTTTAAAAGTTGTGCGTATCTATGTTAAGGTGTCGTGTTATCGTACTATTGCTTGTATTATAAATCCTTTTGGAATGTCAAGTTGTCCTAGTATTGTAGAATCAGTTAGGATTTTTCCAGAAAACAGCATAGTTATTTTATCAGACTTAACATTGTACTCCTCCTCTAGTCTCTTCTTGACGATGATCACCGTGTCAGTAGACGATATTGTTAACTTGATATCTTTAGATTGATTTGAGAGTCTGATTTTAACATTGATTGGATTACCGCCTTTCGATATAATTTCATTCATCCTAACGTCAGTGGTGGTTGAATCAGTTGTGATACTATTAGATACAAAATTGGTTGGTCTACTGAGACAGTATGGAGGGATGGAGTAATGATTGCCTAACTCATCATAAGCATGAGTTAAACTACCTATAATATAAAAAAAGAAATTAAAGAGTTTACGAAAAAAATAATATTCATGGGATTATGATTATTTACAATGCATAATTCTGGAGGGATTAAATTTGCTATTTTGTCAATTAAAAAACGGCCATTTTTCAACCAATCTTAGTTATCTACACATTTTGAAGTCAAACGCATAATGACAACTTGCCCCCTCCCAATGTTCTTCTACCCAAAATCACCCGCTAAGGCTATACAGTACTTCTCTGACAAAGCTGATTTCTCTTTCCTCACACACCAACCATTGGGTAGCGATATATTGGCTCCAGTCAAAATGGCTTGTGCTAGATCGTAATCTTCTTCTTCAGCAGCTTCAATGGCTGCCTTCAATGCATCCCAGATCTCTCTCCGACCATCATATAGAGGTGAGGTCTCCCAGAATGTGTCTCTCTTCCCTTGTAGCTGCCCAGCAGTCAATGGGGTCTCACTCTTCCAAACAAACTTCTCTTGTAGTAGTGGCTGTGACTGGCCCATTACAACTAACGAAGAAAAAGGAGGCAGGTTGTAGTGTAATAAACCCAATAGTAAGTTACCATTTTGAATGTTCTCTTCATCAGTAAAGAGAATAGGATCTGTGTTACTTGGTTGACCCAAACAATTCCCCATGTTTATAACTCTAGCTAGCTCTACTGCTCTAGCTCTCTACTATCTATGGCTCCACCCACTTTTATTTCAACCACACCTACACTTTTTATGCATGGATACTGGATAGTCTGATATCACGTGAATGCTGCAATTTGATTGGTGCGCGAACGCAAACAGCACAAGTTCATAGAGTACTTGTGAATGTCTATAATAGCATAAAATTTTAGATCTTCATCACTATTATAATTGTAAAGAAGTAGCAAACATATAATGCAATTAGATAATGTCAAGTCAGTAGCCATTATGCTTTGATTCTGTAGACACCCAATCCTTTCAGCACTTGAATTAGCTTTTCACTTCTTTCCAATAAAAAATCCAACTTTACTTCCCTTCTCAAACGGCTTGATAGTTTCTCCAGAGTTAAATCTGGATGCGCTTTCAGATTTTGTGTCAATTTTAATTCGTTAATGGCAGAGTAGGTTTCAAAATTTAAACCCAAAGAATGATTCAAATCGATCCAATTGTCGCGAGCTTTTCTTTTTTGCTCGTCACTAGCAAAAATACCTCCTCCCATAAGTGAGACCGGATTTTGAAGTGCCTCATTCATCATGTGTAATGTGACATTGGTAGTCTTGGTACTCTGTAGATCTACACCGGTGTTGTCCAATATTCTTTTCACTAACTCTTTTTCAACTTTGACAGCTAATTGTCCCGTTAGCGATGGTATCTCAAGCTCCCGAGTTCGTGCCTCCAGAGCCTCGACCTTTGATTTTAGATCATCTTGAGCTTCTTTCAGGCCATCTACTTCGTGGAATAGAGCCATCGTAACTTCTCTTAAGTTCTCCATCCAGGACTTGAGCGATCCTCTTACGATCTTCTGGTGTGCACGTGTTTGAGCATGTACTTACGCGTACGTATGTGACATGCGTGTCACTGTCACGTGAGCTTGTTTCGAAATGGCTGCTTCTGGATTGAAAGGTATGCTATAATCTTTGTTCTTATTATTTTAGTGCATAATAGTGAGCCATAAAGAGCCGCAGTTTAAATGGACCTTAAGAGATCAACTGATACTGGCGTCTTCTGTGCAGAGAAGTGGGGATCAGAATTGGTAAAAAAAAATTAATAATTATTAAAATATATAAACTAGGTGAATGTAAACATTGAGGGGTGAGCATGAGCCATCAATTAACATGGTTTGAATAAGATTAAACTAAATAAATTAATCAATCCAGTAGTGATGGGCGAGTCTGGAGTCTTCGATTCCAAATGGAATTGTACTCGTATTGAAAGAGAAGTAGGAATCGTTTGAAATGATTCCGAATTAAACTACACCCAACCACACCCTTTAATATTAATAGTAGTCAATTAATTAGTAGCTGATACCTCAATTATTGCATTTTTATTGCTGTAATTGATAACCTGCATGCATCATCAGCCCCCATCTTCGTCGTCGGAGTCTGAAGTCTGAACAGAGCAAACTTCGGAGCAAACACACCAACACAACCAAAATAACCCAGTAAAAAGGACAAGAATGACTGAGTGCTGCCAGTTTGAGGAGATATGCAACTAAGAAACAAAGCCAGACTTCTATTCAAGCTCTTCCACAATCTTAATAATGAGGACTAAACCTAGAGGGGGCTAAACTGCTATTGCGTTTTATTTCAATTCTCAAACCGAGACGGTCTCAAACAAACTGAAAAGTTAATGGCAAACTGACTTGTTGTGTGAATCAATTCACACAACTGTACCTTACCAAAAAGAATATTATAACTTAAGTTTTCAGAGCTACTCAAGTAGCCTTTAGATAGCTCCCCTCTCTAGTCTTATCTAGAAGTTAGAAAACTCAAAGTGAGTTTGTCCCGTTTTAAAACTGCCATCTTGTTCATTTTGAACACACACTCAAAATTAATTTTGTCCGTGTAGTCCAAATTTATCAATAGTATACTGATTTTAAAATCATTATCCTCTGCTTATTATCAAGAAGTAACGCAAAATAGACCCTGACAGATTATAGAGGATCTCGCTCATGCTCGCTCTAATTATCATTCAAACACTCTACAGGGTTTCAGTAAGCAGGGCTATTAGACCAATCATAGAAGAAACTAGATCATCGGAACATTTCTCACAAAAAGTAATAAAAAGTTAAAATTAATAATTAATTATTAATAATTAAGAATTGCGCCATCCAATATGCTGCCATGCTTGATAAAGCATCCACTCCAAAGTAAGTTGATCTTTTGAACTTTGACCTTTTGAACTCTGACCTTTAGACGTAAGAGAAAGGAGGACGGTGCCCCAGACGTTGGTAAGGTAAAGCGTAACCATGCACTGTGATCTCTCTCTCTTTTAGTGGAAACTGTTGAAGAACAAATTGTACGACATTTAACTAGCAAAAGAATAAAAGAACTTGACAAAGCATTGGTGAAAACAAGAGAAGAATACACGTAAGATATACAATGTACATTGTATTTTATTTTTATTACTACATGTATTGCATACAACTCTCTCCCTCTCAGTGCTCTTAAAAAAGATATAGAGTTATTAGAAAAAGGTGAATTAACAGATGCCCAGCTACAGGCAATGTGGGACCAGATGCAACCGTAAGTGAAGACACATACTGTGCAACATATCACCACCACATCTTCATTACACCTGATGTATGCCACTCTAGTGACATAAAGCCAGCAGCCCCCACCATTAAGAGCCCTGTGATGAAGATATCTCCACTTGTATCAGCTAGTAGGAAAGAGACAGGAGGAGGAGGAGGAGGAGAAATTAAAGTGGAGAAAATTCAAGAGGAACCACCTCTTAAACCAGTAGATGCTCCACCAAAGCCCCCAAGTAGTTTGGTATCTGTAAAACATTCCCCACCTGCAGAAGCACCTGTACCTGCAGGTGGGAGTGTTACTGATAGTGTTAGTGAGACTCCAGAGGCTAAAGCTTCAGAACCCGATCCCGTTCCACCTCCTCCTATTGATGCTGTTAAATCTCCTACTACCGTTCAAAAAGAGGCGGAGCCAAGAGAACAATCCACATCCATCAACGAGGTTGCGGATAAAGAGGTTACACCAGAAAAACAAGAAGAAGAGAAGCCATTGGAAGTTGTTGACGATCCTTCACCAGAGGAAGAGACTAAGAAAGAAGAAGAGAGAGAGGAAGAGAAAGAAACAAAGAAAGAAGACACTAAAGGAATTAGGATTGTTCTAGATAAATGTACACCATATCATCCCGTCTTTAATAAAGATGAAGAAAAAATGGAAGAGGAAAAGAAAGAGATGGTAATTTAAAGAAAATATTTAATAATATTATCTTTAATTTTTAGGCTCCGCCCTCTGGATCTGAGAAGGAGAAAGAAAAAGAGGCGGAGCCAGTAACCATAACTACGCAGGAAGAGAAAGTACATGTACAAGAGGAGGAGAGGGTTAAAAAAGAGAAGGAGGTGACTCCGCCTTCCCCAGCTACCCCACGACAACTGAGAGTGAGAAAACAGGAACATGTTTCTGATCCTTCTGATATGGTGAATTATGTAATAGTGGGTGTGGCCTAATTAATAATTAATTTTAATAGGCCACGCCTCTAAGAGTTATCAAAGCACAAGAGAGTGGTAAAGTTCAATCGGACGAAGAAAGTGGTGGGCGTGTAAGAAGAGGACGTCCTCCTGGAAAGAGTGAGTTCTAATTAAAGCCCCTTGCTTAGTTTTCTTATTAGGAGGTAGAGGCGTGCGTGGGCGGCCGAGGCTAGAGGTGAGAGACACACCTCCTTGCGAGGAAGAGTCAGAGGAAGAAGTTTTATCAGCTTTTAGTTCTGCTGTGTCGAGTCCTTGTCCTTCACAAGGGTGGGTGTGGTCATTAGTTATTAATGGTTATTAAGTTGCTAATAGGGACACTGATTCCGAGAATCAGCTCTCATTCCGGAGCTGGAGAAAGACCATTATGTTAGTGTGGAGACATGCAGCTCAGCATAAGTTAGTGATGAGAGTTTTTTCAGAGATTTTTATTAATAAAAATTTCCGTGCTGAAATTATTCATTATTTCTTTATTATTATTAGATATGCTAATTTGTTTCTTCATCCAGTTAAAGAGGAGAATGCTCCCGGCTATTATGATGTTGTATTAAAGTCAGTCTCTCTCCCTTTCTCTCTCCATTTATAACCTCCCCCCCTCCTCTCTCTCTCTCAGGCCAATGGATTTAACTACAATAAAGAAGAACATTGAAACAGGAGTGAGTCGTCATATGACTATCATGTGACTCCTATCATATCTCTGTTAGGTTATCAGGACTGACGTTGAATTCCAACGTGACATGTTGCTCATGTTTCAAAATGCCTTCATGTACAACAGCTCCGATCACGACGTGTAAGTAATTAGGGGCGTGGTTTAAACTTGTATGACCACACCCACAGGTACAAGATGGCAGAAGAGATGAGATATGATGTGATGGAAAATATACAAGTAAATATGTCTATAATAATTAATTAATTAATTGTGATATAATTTAGGAATATTTATTGACTCAGATGATGGTACAGTCAAGTACAACATCGAAACTCCTCAGAAGCAGCAGTGAGAAAGGGAGGGAGGGAGGGGATCGGAGAGGTTGTAGTTTGTGGTTTTGATTCTTATTTTGTTGGAAATTAATGATAAACAACAAGTTTTGGCCAAAGGCCATTGGCATTTGGCAATAAATAGCTTCTTTTAAAATTGACTTTGAAGCAATCCTTTATTTATCAATGTCTTTGTGCTATGTACATTGATGTCCTACATGTACTAGTTGCTACAACCTTAAATCATTGAGTTATGTATGTTTCAATACTGATCGGCCTAGCATTGTGTAGCACTATATAGTACAGCATTTACATTACCAGTACATTTGTGATTATTCTTATTATTCTATTGACAGATAAAGGATCGGAAGAGAAGACGCCAGTTACAGGTTCTATGAACACTAACAGGAAAACCTCTGGTGGAAGTGGAGGGGGAAATGACGATCCTATTCCTTCTGGCCGTAAAAGACGCCTGAGATTAGAAGACTAACTTGATAATTTTAACATGGTTATCTTTAAAAATTTGATGTGATTACACTTTAAATTACACATCTATTCATTTTGTATTAGCTCCAGCAGTGATTGTCTGTTGGAGTGTTGTTGTAATGCTTCAGTCATTTCATGAAGTAGTTCAGTTCCACTCATGAAGTCAGTCACACTGTGTACTGTGTAGCCTATCCTGTGATCAGTAATTCTGTCCTACAGGAGGAACAAGAGGTAATGAGTCACAAATGACAGTGCACATGGTTGAAACAAAATACCATTTTATGCACAACAACAGCAGTAGGATAATTTTAGAGTTATGAGTATTTAAAAATAAGCCAATTTTTTAAAAAAGCAAATACACATGGTTTTTTCCGAAAAATGGCTCCAAAATTACCCCAAATTTTTACTACATTTTCTGATACATATTGATGTCCTTATGCTGTGTAGAAAGTTTAAGCTGATTCCGACTTCAATTTTTCAAGTTACGGCCATTTTAAGAAAACGTCAAAATTCTGAAAAATACCCAAGGCTATAGCCCATGGTTTTTTCCAAAAAATGGCTCCGAAATCACCCCAAATTTTTATTACATTTTCTGATACATATTGATGTCCTTATGCTGTGTAGAAAGTTTCAGACTTTAATTTTTCAAGTTACAGCCATTTTAAGAAAATGTCAAAATTCTGAAAAATACCCAAGGCTATAGCCCATGGTTTTTTTCCAAAAATGGCTCCGAAATCACCCCAAATTTTTATGACATTTTCTGATACATATTGATGTCCTTATGCTGTGTAGAAAGTTTGAGGTAATTCCGACTTCAAATTTTCAAGTTATGGCCATTTTAAGAAAATGTCAAAATTCTGAAAAATACCTAAGGCTATAGCCCATGGTTTTTTCCAAAAAATGGCTCCGAAATCACCCCAAATTTTTATTCCATTTTTTGATGCATATTGATGTCCTTGTGCTACATAGAAAGTTTGAGCTGATTTCGCCAAATAATTTTCAAGTTATGAGCATTTTTAAATGAGCAAATTTTGAAAAAATCAAAGGCTATTTATTATAGCCCATGGATTTTCCAAAAATTAGCTCCAAAATCACATCCAATGATACTAACCCATCCGATGGATTTAATGTTACTTACTTGTAAGAAATTATATGTTCTTATTCTCTCGTGTCTTTCTCCAGTTCCTATCTGCTCCATTCTCTGTCTTGCTCTCTCATCATTCACTCTCATTCTCTCCTTCTCGTAAAGTCTAGCCTTTAACAACTTCAAAGCTTTCGACTTATTCTAAATAAATTGAGAATCAATCAAGAACTCTCTCCTTGTCTCTCCTCTCCCCCTCCTTTACTCGATGCTGTGACCTTTCATCTTGTATGCTGACTGTTATACCAGTCGGTATGTGAGTCAACCTTACAGCGCTATCCGTTGTATTCACATGCTGACCTCCAGCACTAAACAATAATTGATCACATGACAGTCATGTGATAATAAGTTACATACCCACTCGCTCGAAATGTCTCTATTTTAAGGTCCTTTTCGTTAATATTTGATTGAACCTATGTTAATAAAGAGAGAGAGAAATGTATGGACTAGTTTTATGAGATTATACATTGTACCTATAATATATGTAACATGTACATATGCTGTGTGTGTGTGTGTGTATTTACTTCAGTTGGTAGTGGTAGTATGGCTACTGTTATAGTGCTAGTGTGCATCCTGTCCCTTGATACTGTTGCTGGTATCCTCTGGACTCTATGGACACCAATCTCATACTGTGTTAATTAATTGATTAATTAATTAATAATAATTAATATAATAATGATAATAATAAAACCTTTAATGTTCCAAATACTCCTTTACCGTTGATGCTAGCACTAGCACTCTGAAGGATAATAATAATAATAATAATAATAATAATAATAATAATAATAATAATATTAATAATAGACTAACTCTATATCCTCCAAGGTCATTCTCATTCATTGTCAGTAATTCAAAATGCCAACCATTAAAACTAGCATATCTATAACATTATTGTTATCATTTATTATTATTATTATTACTACTACTATCATTACTTTTGATACATTTGAAACATTTCAGCTGTG